TGATATCAATCCCTGGATTGTCTGGTCCAGACTCGATTATTTACAGACCGACGTCATATAGCTGGTATATTGCTGAGTGTGGCGTTAAACAAACAAACAAACAAAACCAACAAAAGTACCATCTGTGAAGCTCATTTCTTGTTTCCCCCCTGTAATATTGCTGGAATATTGTTGAAAATGACGTGAAACCCTACTCACTCACTCAATTGTGGGCACAATGTGTGAAGCTTATTTCTTGTTCACTCCACTGTGATATTGCTGGAATACCTTTCTCACTCTCTTATGGTTACAAAATGTGAAGGACCCGTGAAGATCCGGGTTAGAATTGGTCTTCAGCAACCCATGCTTGCCCTAATAGACGACTATGCTTGTCGTAAGAGGCGACTAACGGGATCGGGCAGTGAAGGCTCGCTGGTTTGGTTGGTGCATGTCATTGTATCCCAATTGCATAGATCAATGTTCATGATGTCAATCACTGGATTGTCTGGTCCAGTTTCGATTATTTACAGACTGCCGTCATATAGCTGAGTGTGGCAGCTTTAAACAACAAACAAAACAACATGCAATGTTCATACTCTGTGTTACTGTTGGAATATGCTCAAAGAGACTAAAAACCTTTCTTGATTACTCGTTCTTTTTCATATTATTATTGTATTATTTAGGTGAAGCCGCTAGTAAACTTCCTGATATATAAAAGCAGCAAGCTACAAATAGTAAATATTATTGTTTTCATTAGCGATTAGAGAGTGTTCACTGGGTCTGACTGTACTGGCAGTGCGCTGGCAGAAAACTAGCACAGGTTGTGTTTATTTCTGTCCCTGCTCCAGATTGAGGTCACTGGAGTAGGCAGAGTGACCCCATTAAGCAGACTTTATGTAAGCACTGAATCCAGCTCTGTGTCCTTGACAAAGCAGGCATGGTATCTGTTTAATGGACATTATTAATGTGAGTGTCAACTCTTGTCAGTGTCCGTTTGGTTCACATTGGTGACATGAATAAGACAAGATGTTTGGCTGTCTGTCTGTTTGTTGTTTAATGAGGACACTCAGCAATATTCCTGCCATATGACGAAAGTCTGTAACTAATCAAGTATGGAGCAGACAATCCAGTGATTGACATCATGACCTTCGATCTACGCAATTGGGATATGATGATAACATCAACCAAGTTAGCGAGTCTGACCTCCCGATCGCCCGACCTCCCGATCGCGTTAGCCGCCTCTTAGGACAAGCATTGGTTGCTGAAGACCACTTCTAACCCTGATCTTCACAGGTTGTTTATCTGCAGAAGGAGTATCTGGGGCAGGTTTACCAAACAAAAATAGCTTCTCATACAGGCGGCTTAAATTTGTTTTGCTCATAAGAGATAACTTTTAAGACTAACAGTAATAAAACTTGATGTCATGGTAACACATCCATGACAGAATCAATAAATATTATTCAGTATGAAAGTCTTTACCACACATCACTCCATACAGTGGTGAACAGTTTTCTGTTGTACATTTGTATATTTTTACTTCTCTGGTGTTTTAAGGTGCACAGGTGGCTCAGTCGACTAAGGTGTAATAATTTGCTATGCATAGTTGCTTCTCTTAGGTGCACCAGAAACCTATGATCATTGTTTTCAAAACCCCAGATTTCACCCTGATTATGCTTCTAGGTTTGTTAGCACAGTATTTGTACTTTTATGTTTCACCAATCATAATTTATCAAGAGATGTCTCCTAAACACAGTGATTTTGACACAAAATGCTGTATATAGGTCAATGACTTGGACCCTAAAAATGTAATAAGTCAATGGCAAAAGTCAAATCAACCAAAATGGCGGACAAACCATAATAACAAATCAATCCAATACCGTTCGTGATTGGATGAATATATACGATGTGGCCAATGAACGTCATGATAAGAAAAGGGTTTGGGTCAGTACAGCTCCTGACAGTGTATCCCTATGATACGGAGAGTATGATGCAAAGACAAGCACTGCTCAGAATTTCAATTACGATTTTTATGTGGCTGTGTATTGTTTTATTAAATTGCTACTGTACGTAGGACCAATCCTTACTGTTTACTTTTTAATTTTGAAATTGGCGACACCTTGCTTAGCATTTCTATTGGTCAAAAGTCTTACTTCTTAAACAAACCATCTGTCAAAATGCAATTTTATCAGTCAATGACCAGTGACTGATGGCCATCAGAGACCGTGAAAAAGTCTTTATAATTAACAATTGTCTTATGGAAGAGTCCAGCAACTTTTTAGTATTTCATTATGTTTATAATCAGAAGTTCTTATGGGGATAGCACTCTGCAAACTGGAGCTCAGTTCACATGTCAACAAGAAAAGTCAACATTCAGTGTGAGATGTTTGGAGTAATAGAAAAATAGACTTTTTGGAATGGATTGTGAATTCCATTGTTTGTTGATTAAGTTAATATGACAGGATGACTTTTGTGTTGTTTTCTTTAAAACAATATGATCTCGGTCGGAAAATTACAGCAAGTTTGCTTTCAGGCAAGGTGGAAAGGGCAGTGTCCGCATTTACAAAGATAAATATGTTGTTGTTTTTTTCACCCTGCGGCATAAATGTAGGCAGCTGCAAAAATGTTTATCTGTCATCTTGGGTTTGGAGGCTTGCCAGGAATGCTAGAGAATGTTTGGGAATTTTAATGCTGTAAGGTTTGTTCTATAACAATTTCAATGTCTTTGTAATGTCTGAAATCTGAATAAATACTGCTGGATTAAGCTGCTATCGGTATTAAGCAACACACAAACACACTGTATGTGGAGAGAATGGTGCTGAGAATATGGCATTAACTCTTTCAGCTTATTTTAATGATAGATGAAAAAGACTATCAACATTTAAGTTTTTCCTGCTAGTAGGCATCATATCTCAGATATCTAGGAAACTAAATTGGGTTTCTTTTTGTCGTAGAATGACAACTTACTGCAAGAAACACTGTAGATTTAGTTGACATTTACTTAATAGGTATATCATTAAAACTCATGTGTAAGTAGCGAGAGTAACTAATAAGTTTAGTCCACTAGTCCTTATAATGATGACATATAGCAAAACCCTTAATAAAGGCACATTTCTACTAATTATTATGATACCTTAACTACGTGTATTAGGCAGTTTGGCAAGGATGAGAGGACTCGCCAATTTCTAACGCTGGTAAGAGTACTTCTTGTTTATGTGTGTACCAGTGTATATCACAGTCTGCGACTTAAGCATGTTTAGCCACTTGTACGAAGCCCGGGTCTCGACAAATTCTGTTGGGGCTAGTAAGCTCAGCTAACATTCCATGAAATAACTCTAAATTCAACTCAAAATGAGGCTGAGAGAAAGTCTGGGCTTGTTGAAGTTCAAAAGCTTTGGCACAGACTGATATACATTGTATATGTGTGAAAATAGCAAAATCATATGTTTTTGTACAAAAGCTAAATCACCCTATTAATCTCACACATGCAGACCGTGACATACAACACCTACAAGTACTCATTAATTCAGAAAGTAACTGTTATGAGGGAGGCAGGTGTTTGTAGCAATGCGTACCATCCAGCAGTGTCCAGGCAACCAGCCCGGAGATATCTGTTGCCTATATCTGTCAGTCAGTTTCTGCCTGATCAATCATCATTATTCATTTCTAGGAACACCCAAAGCAACTCCTCTACGTGAATGCCTTATTACAGTTTCAGCTAAGCCATCGAATTATATGTCAGGCAGCGCTATCAACGAATGGATTTCTATTGATTTTCTGGCCCTGTCAATATGACCACAGCATTTAAAAGGCTTTTAATATCTGCAACATTGGCTGTTGCATTTTAGCACATTTATAAACAGTAAATAATGCATCTTCGACAACAGTTGGACAGCAACATCTCGGCCTATGAACAGCTCAGGGTTTCTTTGTATGGCTTGATATTTCTGGCAAAGTGGAATAATGCTATTAGCTGCCTAATTACTATTCAGACTCCCTCTGTGTATTACCTGTTCAGGTTTGAGTATGAATAACGTAGTCTTCATCAGGCATTCTGTATTGTTGTGAGGATTGGAAACACACTGAGCTTTATTATTTTGACAATATTCAGAAATTGACTAAATGTGTCTGATCTGTAACAGGTGGTTGCTTAACTTCAAGCAGGACAATTTGAAAAAAAGTACCTTTGCAGGGATAAAAAAAGAGAAGAACATCATAATTACAAAATACATTGTGCAAATGATGCTTTGACCTTGGGTAGATGGTGTTGGATGAGTGATTTTTTCTTTGTATTTGTGTTAGCTTGTGTTAGTCGCATTACTTCTTGTGTTGTGGGGAGTCTGGGTAACAATATAGGGCCCCAGCAACCTATGCCTTGTGCAAGTGTTGACTAAATAGATCGGGTGGTCAGGCTTGGTGACTTGGTTTATTGCATGTAATTGTATCTGAATTCTTGGATTGATGCTGATGATGTCAATCACTGGATTGCCTTTTCTTGACTGGAATATTGCAGACATATAGACATATACAGTTGGCTGGTTGGTTTGTTGTTTAACGCCGCACTCAGCAATATTCCAGCGGTATGACGGCGGTCTGTAAATAATCGAGTCTGGACCAGCCAATCCAGTGATTAATATCATGATCATCGATCCACGCAATTGGGACCGATGACATTCATCAACCAAGTCAGCGAGCCTGACCACCCGATCCAGTTAGTCGCCTTTACGACAAGCATAGTCGCCTTTTACGGCAAGCATGGGTTTCTGAAGACCTATTCTACCCCGGAATCTTCACGGGTCTAGACATATACAGAAACAGTCATATAGGTGGAATATTGCTGAGTGTGGCATTAAAGAAACAAACACTTCTTGTCAGTTGGGAACATCTATGATATATATATTGTGTGTGTCAGTTCCTGGCGTGGCCTACCATCATGGTCCAGGGGACACATACGTATTGTAAAGTGTTCTATTTACATTAATTTAACAATTTTGTCAACTTCTGATGTCAATTTATCTTTTCAGGAAACTACAAATCATGTCTACTTGGTCATGGAGGTGAGATCTTATGACTTTGTTGTCTTAGCATGTGATACTTAGACCTTCTGTAGCTTACCATTTTTCAAAGAATAATGAATCAAATCCTCTTCTCTCCCCAACCCCATTAAAGGGAGGTACAACTTGTTTAAATTTGAAGTTTGGTTAATTCATCAATAAAGTATTGAGACACATACACATTTGTTTACATGCATGTTAATGTTTCCCTTTGTGTGCTGTAGCAGGTAATGAGAATCATCCTGTTTTTCAGTACTGCAATGGAGGAGATTTGGCTGACTATCTTCAGGGTAGGTAGATAGAGGGATTTCATTGGGAGGTTTCAGTTATTGCAAAATAGCAGGGACAAGCAATTTCAACTTGTCTTTTTGATGACTTAAAAACTAGTGATTGTTATAATAATCATACATATCTTTATTGTTCATCAGTGATAGAAACTAACACTTTTATAACTTCAGTCTTCTTGTCCTCATAATGATAACATACAGAGAATCTCAACTGAGTGACTTTTGATATCAAATATATCAACACGGGTTGATGAAAGTGGCAAAACTCCAAGGCTTGATGAGGAGTATGTTCCACTTTTATCAACGAGTGTTGATATATTTGATATCGAAAGACACGTGGGTGAGATTTTATTTATCATCCAACATCATTCTTCCAACTTTTTCAGTTTGTAGACAGTAATAAGCAGTGTCCAAGTGTAAAAAATACTGCTAACAGCTTCAGTAGCAGAGCCACTAGTGATGTCATTTGATTTGTGACGTGATGGTAACCAATGACGTCACAATGGTCTGCAAAGCATTGTGATGCAATTTCATTGTAGATATCGCTCGATCTCGCCCAAGCAGTATCTCTCGTAGGAGCCAGTTTGGATGGTAACATCAATACCCTCAAAATGAATAAATTCAACGTGTCCCTAAATAAAATCACTGTTAACTTATGGCACATGACAATAATTTATTAAACACATGATGCATACTGCATACTCCCTATGGAGCTGAGAATCCAATAAGAGAGCACACTAGTTTGATACTGAACATCGTTAGAAATTGGCACTAGTCCTGTAGACATTGCCAAACTGCCCAATAGTTAAGATATCATAAGGGCTAAGCAGAAATTTGCCATAATTATATATTTTTTGCTTCCAAATGTTTTCAGCGAAGGGTACACTCAGTGAGGACACTATATCGCTGTTCCTGCGACAGATAGGTGAGACTCTTCGCTTGTAAATCTATTACTCAGTTGAACAAGATATGCTTTCAAATAAAGTCCGGGGAGGTTGGGTAGCCAAGTGGTGAAAGCGTTCGCTCGTCACGCCGAAGACCCGGGTTCGATTCCCGACATGGGTACAATGTGTAAAGCCCATTTCTGGTGTCCCCTGCCATGATATTGCTGGAATATTGCTGAAAGAGGTGTAAAACATACTCACTCACTTCAAATAAAGTTCATTAATGAGTTCCATAATTTTTTGTTTATATTTGTTTGTTATCTGTATGTCCAATATAAAGAATTCAGGATAAGTATAAATACTATTTTTACTCTAAAAATATATTATCTTTTTAAAAAAAAATATTATCTTGTTTGAGGAGATCATTCTTTTAATCTGACCTATAGCCAATTTACGCAAGAGTATCTTGATTATGCAGCTGTGATACCTTCTGGTTTGGTTTGTTGTTTAACGCCGCACTCAGCAATATTCCAGCTATATGACGGCGGTCTGTAAATAATCGAGTCTGGACCAGACAATCCAGTGATTAACTTCAAGAGCATCGATCCATGCAATTGGGATCCACGCAATTGGGATCGATGACATGTCAACCAAGTCAGCGAGCCTGACCACCCAATCCCGTTAGTCGCCTTTTAAGACAAGCATGGGTTGCTGAAGACCTATTCTACCCTGGAATCTTCACGGGTCTGCATAATGTATTCTGCATATTGGAGCAGAATCTATGTCCTGAAGCCTGTCTCGTCTGACTATTGTTAAGTTGTACAACTGGTTACGGTTGATGTTGCGTTGCCCTGCAGCTGCTGCCATGAAGGCTCTGAATGCGAAGGGTATCGTTCATCGAGACTTGAAGCCACAGAACATCCTCCTGTGTTACCCAGGCAGGGCCAGCCAGTCAACTACAAAGGACATCAAGCTCAAGATTGGTGAGACAAATTAGAAAATGGGACAGAAATATAGTGAAGCTCCATTTGTGAATTCTATTCACAACAATACATCCAGTATTTTGCTGATTAAGATCTTTGATTATTGATCTGTGGTCGAAAGGGGTTGTAATTTACTGTGCAGAGTCGCTTCCTTTGACCATGTCAGGATTTGCAGTTATACGTTTGAATATCTTATTCTCTTGAATAAAAACCTTGGTCTGTCGGAACCATGTCGCTTTATGGTTTCAACATACCGTATTCGATGTTATAAGCGCCCCGCTCTAATAAGCGCCCATGGCGATAATTGCTAACATATTGACTAGTGAACAATCCCAATTCACACTCCTTCTGATTGATCAATGTACACAAGAGTTATTTTTTCGCGTATAATACGCACTCGTGTGTTATATGCACCCTTAATTATGGGCAATGAAATTCTGGAAAAATATATCTGTCGTATATAAACATTTCAGGCTGTCAGCATAAACCACAATATTTATCTTTCAACTCTGTTTTTTCCACCAAAATAATATTCTTATAAGAGCCCCCTCTTTCTAATTTTGAGGGCGCCCTGGGCGCTTATTGCGTTGAATACGGTAGTAGTCACTAGTTAGTCAGTGTCTGTGATCTGATTCAACTTTCTTACCAAACAAAATAAGCTGACATATGCTGTAGAGCTATGCTGATACATTTTGCCATTCTACAAGGGTAGTAAATGGTTGGCTTCTGCTAGCCTATAGTTGTAAAGGACCAAGTGTGCTTGTTTGGATATTTAGGCTTAAAAAGTCATGAAATGTTTCTTGGGCATTGATGCATCACTTTAAATCATTGTTTTGGCAATAAAAAATATTTTTCAAATGGTCCGCGTTGTATGATGATCAATAAAATACAATGCTTGACAATTGGCATCGTAATAAAGAACCAAGTCTAGTGAGACCCCAGTTGTGTTTCTTGGTAAACTTGGTGGGGGAAAAAGTGCTCTTATTGCATTTCTTTTGTTTTTACGTAGATTTATTTTTTAAAGTGTCCATTGTCTCTCCTCACTTTTGAGAACATTGTACCAAAGAAACATTATTATTTATTAGAGTTTTATGAGAGTTAACTTATGTCCTGGTTTCTGGTAGTGAGTCCAGGCATCTGGGGGTCTGTCCAGTCCATATTTAACATTAATGACGGGAATGACTTCATTTGTATTGAACACATAATGTATATGTTGTTTACTGTTTCAGCTGACTTCGGCTTTGCTCGCTTCCTGCAAGATGGTGTGATGGCAGCAACACTGTGTGGGTCTCCTATGTACATGGTATGTACACACAGTAATAGCATTTGGTGGTTTTGTTTATTTATTATACACGCGACCTTTTAGGTCGGGGGTATATAGTTATACTAAGGTTCCGTCCGTCCGTCCAAAAACGTTGTCCGAGCGATTTCTCTTAAACTATTCAGTGGATTCATCTCAAACTTATAATCACTTGGGGTTTTCCTGCTATTTTAAACTGACTCACTGATATATAATTGGAATACTGTTAAAAGCTGTGTTAAACCCAACTCATTCGCTCTCAGGGTATCGTTGTTACACAAAAAAATACATGTATGAATACTCATTTTTCAATTATCCATGGATGGTGAAAAAGCCAAGATTACTGAAAAGCTGTCACTGAGAGCATATGACCTTGACTTGGCTGTTGCAGGCGCCGGAGGTGATCATGTCGCTCCAGTACGACGCCAAGGCTGACCTGTGGAGCATCGGCACCATCGTCTTCCAGTGTCTCACAGGCAAAGCTCCCTTCCAGGCACAAACTCCACAGCAGCTCAAGCAGTTCTACGAGAAACACAGCGACCTCATGCCCAAGTAGGTATTTGTGATGTTTAGTGGGACCACCTCCATGCTGTAGTGGATAGGGGCGGTCAGGTGGCATAGTGGTTAAAGCGTTCGCTCGTCACGCCAAAGACCCGGGTTCGATTCCTGACATGGGTACAATGTGTGAAGCCCATTTCTGGTGTCCCCTGTCGTGATATTGCTGGAATATTGCTAAAAACGGTGTAAAATCTCATTACTCACTCACTCACTCACTCACTCACTCACTCACTCACTCACTGTAGTGGATAGAACATCTGCCCTGTAGAGCAGGAAGTTGGTGGTTCGATCCCTGGCTGTGTCATACCCAAGGACATTAAAAGATTGTACTTGTTGTATTCCTGCTCAGCATTAAGGGGCTAAAACAAGGACTGGTCGGCTCGGAGTCAGTATACTGTGTCTGAGTGGAATATCCATGTTAAACTGCGGCATGGTATCTCACTGAGCTAGCACTATAAATGTGACATTAGTCAGGACTAGTACAAGCAGCCACAGCCACCATGTTGCTAAGAAACAAGATATTTAGCCCATTTCACCTCCCCTCAAATCTTGTAACTCAGGGAATATTTTAGACTTCAGTCAGCAGTATTCCAGCTACGTGGCTACAGTAGCCTTTAGATAATAAAGGACTTACTTCGCTTTAAGCAATATTCCAGCAATATCACAGAAGGGTCACCAGAAATGGGCTTCACACATTGTATCCATGTTGGGATTCAAACCCTGGTCTTCGGCGTGACGAGTGAACGCTTTAACCACTAGGCTACCCGACCGCCCCAGTCATGTCCACAACTTGCATGTGTTGGAAAGACAAAAGGCTAGTTTTCAGACATTTGAACATAATTTACATACCAAGTTTTCTGCTACCTTTTCAGTGAGCTCAAAAGGGTTCTTATCATAGCTCCTCCTTCCTGCATACAGGTAGTCATGTGATCATGTGTTGTTGTCTTCTAGTATACCAAGTGGGACATCTCCTGAACTCCGAGACCTGCTCTTGAAACTGCTGAAAAGAAATTCCAAAGACAGGATAGAGTTTGGTAAGGTTTTCTTACACACTAACCATAGTAAGTCTCCTGTGTTTCATGTGATCTGGAAAAAAAACCTTTCCTGTTGTCTCAGTGTCTTATTTGTTTTTGTCATCATTGACAGTAATTTAATTATCCAGATAATTTTTAGATATTTATGAGTCACTAGATCTGTGCAAATGGTGTAGGAAAATTCAGGGAAATTTAGATTACTGTATTCGACGTAATAAGTGCCCACAGCGATATTTGCTAATATATGGGGAAGTGAACAATCCCAATTAGCACCGATTGATCAATGTACACAAGAATTATTTATTCGCATATAATCCACACTCGTGTATAATATGCACCCTTATTATGGGCAATTAAATTCTGGAAAATTATATCTGTTGTATAAAACATTTCAGGCTGTCAGCATAAACCACAAATTTTCTAATTTTGAGAGCACCCTGGGCGCTTATTACGTCGAATACGGTATTGTATCATTTCTAGAAAGTGAAAGGACATATTCTGATACAAGTTATTCTTGTCTCTTCCAGAAAATTTCTTCAGGCATGCATTCCTCCAGCGATCTGCCCCGAAGCCAACAAGCAAGTGTAAGTGTTTGTTTTGTGTTAAAAAAACTGTGGCATGTATTGATCTCCCTTGTTGAATTTCTTCTCCTTTCTTCAAGGAAAGGAATACTGAATCCATTAAAATTATATAAGACACCTGTGATCATTTGGTGAAGATTGCTCTCACCAGAACAGTTCAAATATGCTAATGTAGGCAATCTATCAAAAATAATAGATTGCCCCATCCAAAGTATGCCTTTAAGAGCTAGTTGCAGGTGAGTAGTATATTGCTTGTTATATGTGTCAATGTGTGACTTCAGCTGCCCCAGTGCCAGTTCCCCACCGGAGTGCTAGCTTCTCCTCGGAGGGGTCGACACCCAAACATGCCACCTCCGCCACGCCCCCAGCAGCCCACATGGAATACACACCCCCACATGTGAGTCATTTCAGAGTATCTTACTTTGTCAGGACGAAACTATTTTTTTTCAACTGACTGGTAGGTAGTCACAGTTTTAAATCCATGTCATCATGGAGAGACACGTTAATTTCTTTAACTATGATACATTTTGTCAGAATAAAAACATCATTTACGACAACATGACTATTCTGATTCAAGCAAATTTACCATAAATAGCTGGACCTCTTATAAAACAGGGCCAACTTGACCATGATGTTACTACCGCATTTTTGGGGGGCACGGTTGGCCCAGTTGTCTAAGGCGCCGCGATTCGCTGTGCAGAGCTGTGTCCTTTCGACACCCCAGAAACCTATGATTGTGGGTTCGGTTCGGGTATCAGTTTACTCAATAGTAGTGGTAGTGGTAGTAGTATTAATAATAATTATTAAATCATTATCATCACGGTTAATGTATCAGTGTTCTCTCAAATGCCATTCACCGCTCCCTGGGGAGTATACAACTTTCAACTCAAGGAGCACAAAATGTTTATCTACTATAGACGTATGATCTTCTTCTTTCAGTCTCATAGTGCCGTGAAACCCGATGTCCTTCCCCAGCCATCCCCGCCAGACGATGCTGGCTTCCTGAAGGTAGACAAGGAGGAGATGGATGTCCGCAAGAGTCCTACAGAGGCAAGTCTTCAGCTGCTTGGTTAAAAACTTACAATCCTGATGTACATTTAGTCCACATTTTCATCGATCATGTCCTTGTGATTCAGTTCCCAGTATGCCCATTCTAAATGTTTGATTAACTCTTTCAACACCGTAGGCCGGTTATCCGGCCAAGAAGCATCGAGTCCCCAGACACCGCAGGCCGGTTATCCGGCCAAGCCGTAGTCACGTCAAAATAGTACTATATTTTTATGGACCTACCTGTAATATCATTCATTTATTAAATCTATCACATTTCACAATGTCTGAAATACATATTCCATTTCAATTTAACATTTTTTATCGTTAAATTAAAAAATTATTCACCATTTCCCGCAATGTTATTGAAAATAAAATTCTCGGAACACACATTTCGACAACGGGTCCACATCGAACACGTCAAAGAGGAAAATAAAGACGTTTTAAACAAATCTTTAAATATATTATACAAAGTAATATATAAAATCAACAAAAATATATCTAAAAGTAATCAAACTTACATCTAAGTTATTATTTTCATCTTTTCGTGCAATCGCGTGTAATGTAAGTCAAATGACATCTCGGCTTTCGTCGCCTTGAATTCTCGGCTCGGACACGATGTTTAATGCAAAAATATATGCATGAAAAATCTTTGTCTCAGCTCGTAACCTAGCACGATACATTCACGAAGTTCCATATTTTTAATATATATCGTGATTTCCTGCTCAAAACGTTCAGAATAACACGATTTAACAATATTCTTTCGCAAACTTCTGTAATTTATCGAACACGAGCTTGGTATCACAGCTGTAATTTGATTGGCTGCCTTAGGTCACGTGCTCAAAATTGACCAATCACGAAACTTGTAGCAGATTTCAGCAAGAAAGCGTCATTAGAAACCAATTTTAATCCAATGAAATCGCTTGTTATAACTACGGAAAAAAACCAGTCGATGTTACGAGCGTGTAGATGAAGCAATAAGCTTTCCAGCGATGTGTCATATGCCATTCTTCAACGAACGTGTTATTCATACGAAACCTCGAAAACGGGGGTATTTCTTCATTTTACTGAGCGGACAGTCGCTGTTATCGGGAAAAGGGTGATGACAGAGACTATTTATAATTCTTTTTAAAATGATTTTCCAATAACGTAAACAATGAAATAAAATAGAAATAGGTACGTGGATATTATGAAATCATATATTTGCCGAAAATCGTCAAGTTTTCGCTTCCTTGGTCCTTAATCTGGATGTTAACAACGTGTTAGCGTACATTTTTTATTTACAACGAATTTAATTAAGTTGTAAATGCATTATTTTAAATAATGTGAAAAACATAACTTTCATATTTATAAACCATAGGATCAGACCTTTCAAATGGTGTATAACATGTAGTAGCAAATATATTTTACAAGCAGGTATTTTCTTTGATAAATGTTGACTTCATCTATCACACAAGAGCCTCTGGGAACTCGGTGTCCCAGCAGTAAACACTTCTGGTTGACTGGTGTTGAAAGAGTTAAGTGTCAAGTTATATTTATGAAAATGTTTTACTGTTAATATTTATTGAACTGTTATGTTTTTTATTTCCTCAGGACTTCGTGTTGGTCCCTGAAGGCGATCATATTGGTAAGTATTAGTCAAGTTATGTGTTGTTTGAATTGAAACAAAATACAAGGGTGAGAATCTTCAGTCGATCCGCGAATTATAGGGACCACAAATTTGTTACAATCTGATGGCTTCCCCCTGATCCCCCATAAACACCCCCAAATTATGGACCATGCACCATTGAAAAGAAGTTTCTGCTGAAAAGGAAAATATCCATTCTCATCCCTGAAACTATGAAATAGTTAAGTCTTTATTTGGATTGTGATATTTGCAAAACAATTCTGGATAATATAGAACAAAGTAGATTCCACGACAATGCTAGATAAGAAAGATGAATGAATTCCCCTTTGAATGCGGGTAGTCGGGTAGCCTAGTGGTTAAAGCTTTCACTCGTCACGCCGAAGACCTGGGTTCGATTCCCGACATGGGTACAATGTGTGAAGCCCATTTCTGGTGTCCCCTGCCGTGATATTGCTGGAATATTGCTAAAAGCGGCGTAAAACCAAACTCACTCACCCACTCCCCTTTCAATGATGTTATTTGGTAGTGATTACATCGGTGGTAATCAAGTCTCACATTTCCGTGTACTTCCTTTGATTCGCAGATGTCCCTGTGAGTGCTGCCCCTATTGCTTCGGAAGAGGATATGGACACTCTAGGGTAAGCTTCATCACCTGTGGGTATTCTGGGGCCGTCTCCAGGGCCCTGTTTGTCATCTTGCATGTTAACAAGTGAAACTGACACAACTATAGGCCATTGTACATTGAGACCGCCTCTGTGGTCTAATGGTAGAGTGTCTGCCTGGCTGATCCCCGGCTGCATCATACTAAACGATGTTAAAAGATGGTACTTGTTGTTACCCTGTCTGGCGCTCGGCATTAAGGGGCTAAAACAAGGACTGGTCGGCTCGGAGTCAGTATACTGTGTCTGAGTGGGGTATTCATGTTAAACTGCAGCATGGTATCTGAGTGAGCTAGCACTTTAAATCGGCATCAGTGCAGACTAGTACAAGCAGTCACACAAACACACACACGTACATGCACGTCGCTATGTAAGTGCAATAATCTTGGATGCGACGTTAAACCCCATTTCACCTCACCATTGTACATTGTAAAGGGGTTATGTATGAACCATAACATGGTTAAAGAAATCACTCGAACCTGTAGATTTCGTAAGCCTAAGTGGTCTTGAGGCTTGTTGATTCAACTTCCGGAATCAACAGTTCTTTGTACTTTCTCCATTACTTTGAACATGAAGCAGCAATCGCTAACAATCAGCAGGACTGATCATACTTTTTTAACTTCACTTGTCTGTTTATAAGTAGCTATACCAGTTTTAACACTCTTTACATTGTATAAAACAATTCACTGTCTCTTGAAATCAGTTATAACAGAAGTCGAAGATTATATATTCAGTAGAATATCATAGTGATTTCAGCATTGCTCATTATGAGGTTTCGCAAACTGTACAATGTGTAAAAGCCACTCTTTCATTTCTTCAAGGCAGATGTTTATTAATGTGCATATTGATTGATGTTTGTGTTTGTTTCAGTGACGCCCCTCCCTCTATGAAAACAGTAGCTGTCCATGCCCAGGTTGGCACAGCCACATACAAGAAGGAGGCACAGACCAGTCCTAGTCGACCCAGTACCTTGCCAGTCAACAGCCCACCGTCCCCACCCTCCTCCAACCCCATCCCCGTCCCCACACAGGCACGTGCATACCAGAAGATGCAGCAGACATCGCCCACTAGTCCCCTTGCTCGGAGGGTGCCATCGTCAGCAGAAATGAAACAGGTAGCAAAAAGATTGTCATTGTTTTGGTAGACGTATCACACACTTCCTGGTCTGAAAGTAGTTCAGTCGGGGATATGGAGGTAAAATCATGAGCTTGGCAAAATGGTGAACATCAACATGTGTCGTGTGCTTTACTCCTACAGTAAATTCATAATTTCAGCCTGGGTGGCCTAGATGTTAAGATGCCACAATTGCTGTGCAGAGTTGCATCCCTTAGGCTAACCAGAAATTGGGGGGTTTGAAGCCTTGTTGGACCAGATTATGTTTCATGCTGTGTCAGAACCCTAAGTGGGTTTTACCAAGATGGTAAACGTCTAAGAACTGCATCATTTTTGGCTTTCCTCCCACTCCATATATACCATGACATGACTGGAAAACAGCATTTAACCAAACTCATGTTCTACCTCACTGTTATATGGTCCGTAAATGGTGTAGAAAGCACCATGCTACAACAAGCGCCCACTGATCAACTCTAGACCAATCTGTAAGTGATCTTTCTCTTCTCCTACTAAGGCGGGAAATGTGCACAATCTATGTTTTCTTGTGTATATTACAGTTTGTTTACAGAAAACCGTGGTGCAGAAACAGTCTATAATTGCCAAGTAACTTCTCAAAAAGTTTTTGTTTCTTTGATGTGTTATTCACAACCCTTCGATTTCTGAAAACAAATTTAACAATTAAGCGCTCCCCCTTGTCATTTTTTGGCACTTATTACGGCGAATATGGAATCCCTAAAACTGACTATTTTAACAAGATAGTGACAAAGATAGCAGACATCTGCAGTGTTCATACTCTTTAGACCGCGTTCTCTGAGCAAGTGTTGTTTGTTGGGATTCGGCTACTGAATGAATTCATCCCATCCTGAAACTATAACTGGAATGATGCAGAGGTTGATGTTTTGGGGAAACCACACGGGAGAACCATGGCTAATGAATCATGTAATCGAGGAAGGTTTTATTGATTCAGTCCACTTTGGGGATTTAAAGTTTAAATAGCTCCCAGTCCTTGGCCTGCCAAACAATTAAGAATTAGGATCAGGTGTCCAATGACTGCCAAGCAGGCGTCTCATGTGAATGAGTGACTGTGTGGGTTTGCCTTGTATTTTTGTTCATTATTCCTGTATTTTTCTCCATTTTGATGTTAAATGTGCGTTTGTGACTACAGTCTGCCACTTTAGCCTCTAGTCTGAAGCCCTAGTCATGTAAAATTCTGTTAGACCTAGTAAAATCTTCTGATAATGGTCCATATGATAACACTAAGCTCAACTGAAAATGATGATGCTAAGAGCCATGTTCGGGCGAGTAGACTCAAAAGTTGTTTGCAGAAACTGTGCCTGTCAGTATTAAGGGGAATTCAGGGGCAAAGTAGATCTTTCTCTCGGTCAAACAACAACCAATCAAAATGGATCTTCTGAACGAGAGTTTGACATAGATTAACATTCAAAGTCACGTCTCATCCGAGCAAGCCCATCATATATTTAAACGAATCACAAGACTGTTATAAGTGATTTATTTTTTTTAGCTTGAAAAGATGTCTTCCTAAGTACTAAGACACTGATTTTGAAGTCATGATGCTACACACACATTCTGGCTGTATTTGTGACTTCATGCTAAAGTACAGGTGATATGTCTCTTTGGTGAATTCATGACACAACAGTGTAATTTGATTGGCTGTCTATTTTTAGGGTTGTGTCTTCCAAACCACTCTCAAGACAAAGATTAGGTGACAATGTACTGTTCAACATGACAATAAAGCAGCTTTAAAACAAAAACTGGGGAGGTTTGATAGTCAAGTGGTTAAAGCTTTCGCTCGTCCAACCGAAGACCTGGGTTCGATTCCCAACATGGGTACAATGTGTGAAGCCCATTTCTGGTGTCCCCCGCCATGATATTGCTGGAATATTGCTAAAAGCGGCATAAAACCATACTCACTCACTCACTAAAACCAAAACTTACTCACTTAGGCTTAAAAAATAAAGGAATTGGCTCTCAGACAAAGACTTTTGAAAATGTAGTGTGGGCGGGCGAGGGTTTTTTGAGGGGGTTCGTTCAAACTAGTAAGTAACCAAATAAACAGTTGTGTACCATGAACCTGTGAAAGGGCGTCCCTACATAAACAAGCATACAAACTTCTATTGTGTCCATGACAACACAAGATGTGCAGTAAAGCAGTGTGCATGTAAAGGGAGGTAACTGTGTGCTATATTGGATCGCATTGTTTTTAAGTATTAGGATTTAAACAAAATTTGTGGCAGACTTTATAGATGTGGATGGTGCCTATTATATTTTTTAGCCTTAGTATTATTTTGTGTTGTAATATTTGGTATCTGTCACATTTCAGGAATGTGTAGAGAAGGAGGTTGTCTTGTCTCGGCAGAGTTCGGAAACAAAGCTGTGCACCGGACCAGGCATTGTCTCCCTGTCTCCACCGAGTGGTAGGTGCTCAGTTTACACCAAAAACAATAGTGCCTCTTTCTATTTTGCCTTTCAACATTTTAAGCCTTTTGTTTTTCAATTGAAGGAGTTTGTAGAGATGCTAGTAGTTCTTTCCATCATCACTCATGCATCACTGTCTCTCGTCCACTACCCAGGTTTCTATGTACATGGACAATAAATAAACAAATTCATACTTCGGCTTCTCCGACATGAGCAATTTCACTTGAACAACTCGTCAACACAACATTTAATTCTTAATTTCTTTCTTTTTGTGGTTGACAAAAATGGAATTTTAGAAGTCAAGTTAAGCCATGCTTGGCAGCAGAACATTCTACACTAATTAAACGCTAGCTGACTTGGTTGATGCACATCATCGTATTCCAATTGTGTGGATCGATGCTCATGATATCAATCACTGGATTGTCTGATCCAGACTAGATTATTTACAGACTGTCGTCATATAGCTGGAATATTGCTGAGCGCAGTGTTAAACAACGTAGAAAGAAAGAAAGAATCATATGCTCCAATTCCTGTCGTTTTGGTCTGTCTGTCAACCTGAACTAGCTTGATACAGGGGAATCTGATTTATGATATTCTCTGATTGTCCTACGTGACCCTGAATATTGGTTTCTCATTCAGCTGTTTTGAATTTTCAGTAGTATTTTAGAAAGGGTTGATTTTGAAATAGATAGCAGTATTTGGGGAGAAATATTCAGTCATGCATGAATGAAGTCATGTCTTTTTTGCCACCATGCATGCCATATAAGCATGATAGGTTATGTTCAAGCCTGCATTGAGTGACACTGACAGCTATGGACCGACACGGTTTATGATAATTAGAATGTGCCACACTGTTTGTCTAAATAGTCAAATGTTAATGAATACACTTGATGTATATTACAAAAAACTGCATCAAGTCAAATGGGTCTGATATCCAAGATAATATATTGACCATGAAGACATGAAGCTGTTAGTTATGTCTCAGGTACCCGTGAAGATCCGGGGTAGAATAGGTCTTCAGCAATCCATGCTTTCCGTAAAAAAGCGACGGTGCTTGTTGTAAGAGGCGACTAACGGGATCGGGTGGTCAGGCTTGTTGACTTGGTTGATGCATGTCATCGTATCCCAGTTGTATAGATTGATGGTCATGATATCAATCACTGGATTGTCTGGTCAAGACTCGATTATTTACAGACCGCCAACATATAGCTGGAATCATGCTGAGTGTGGCCTTAAACAACAAACAAAAAATCAACAAAGCTCTGCTTCAGGGCTTTTTCTTGCTCCTTCATCAGATGATCCTTCCCTGCTGATGAAGGGGCAAGAAATAGCTCTGAGATGTTCTTACAAACAATACACAATTTGTTTTTCGTGAAAGGTTTTTTCATCATGTTCTTCCAACTTCATGATGCCGTGATATAACTGGAATACTGTTCAAAGCAGTGTTATACCCTATTTACTAACTCCAACTTAATGCCAGGGTATGAAACTCCCAAAAATTTCAGCCAGACCACAGGACTGGCTAGCTGAAATACTTGCCAGCCCTGACCAAAACCTGCCTGCCCACTTTAATCATATGTTTCTCAGGATAAGCTAACAGGGTTTCTTTTTGGGTACATTTTATCATTCATCTTTACATGTGAATTAATGCTTATCATCGGGAAATATTTAGAATATTTTCACATATGAAATATAACCCGACCGATTTGAAAATCTGGCAGCCCGAGTTGAAATCAACCCATCTCGGACGGTCGGGCAGGTATTTCGAACACTGTTAATGCTCATCAGGAAGTAGATATATCCTGACTTAGTTACCATAAACCCATTCAAATTCTTAAATGTGAAGGTGTTAATTGAGGCATGACACAGACAAACAACAGCTGTTTCAAAGCCAGTATTTTTCCATGCTTCAGGCAGTTTGGCTGACCTGTGAATTGGTATGAGTAAAAAGCTGTTGTCATAGTCCACACATGTCTTATTTATTACTGGTTGTTACTTATTGACTCGATACCACTCATTGTCTGCAGCCATTATGGTATTGATAGACCAGTTCATATCAATGGGTAGACATTGTCCTGAAACCAGGCTAGCTTTGTGTCCTTTCTTTGTCAGTTAATCCCTACCCTTTTGCCTTGTTGTTTGATAATCAGTAAACACACATCCACAATTACACCACTAACCCCAATCAAGCGATCTTGCATCACTGGCTTGCTTGACGCTAATCTTCCTAAGACCTAATCCCATAATACAGTGATAGTTAACATGTTATTTTAAGAAATAGCTAGCTGAAACCATTTCAGAGCTTCTTAATTGTGTCCAAATAACCTAGATGTTATTGTTCAGTGCCTAAACTAAGCCGATATAAGTTCATTCACTTTGCAGTCACTTATAGTCTCATAATTCAGAGTTACTAACACTTTGTTTCATCACCAGCCCCAACTGAGCATATATATTTTTGTTCATTTCACACTTACTCAGGGTTTAGTTATTCAGAGTTAGTATTGCTCTGCTTGATCATCAGCCCCAACTGAGTATATTTAACTCATCAGTATTTTATCAGCCAATGAGCTTGCTGTTCCCTTGTCTCACCCTCTATTTATGCTTATGCTTGCCCCCTTTCAGTCCAGTTCAGCATCGGCACTCCCCCCAGTACGGGGTCGTGGAAGAGGAACAGCACCCCCCCTAGTAAGACTGGCAACACCCCGCCTAGTGTTACTGGCTCACCCCACAGAAAAGCTAGTGAGAACACCACTTTTACTAACATGAGGCGTTTTTCCTATTTTATTACTTGGTTGTGTATCTGTCAACTGAAATTTGAACTTAACTTGTGAAACATCAGTAACATTAAACCGTACAAACAGGTCAAAATCGAATAATGTTAGACAAATACTCATTCTTATCATTCAAGGAAACCACAACACTTTCCTTCTCCTTCTATTTCCTTTATTTATTTTAGACTATGGATCAAAAGATTATTTTTTTCAAATATGATTTGTTTTACTGTATACTGTTGAAATAAAACCAAGTAATAAGATAATTTTATGTGCAAATTAACTATTAGCACTGTTTTTTAACTTTTTAATGTTATGCTGTGTTCAAAATTAACAGGAAAATCAAGGGCTCCTTGTCATAGCCCTAATGCTAAAAGTTAAAGATTCAGGGGGTGCCTAGATTCACATGCAATAGCAGAGGACCTCAATGACCCCAGGACCCCCCTTAATTTTGAACACTTTACTATGCAGTGAAACTTGTAACACGTCTGTAAACTTTTCAAATTATAAAATACTTATTTGAGTGGCATCTTGTTTTCTGATTAATTTCAGCTTGATATTGTTAACTTTTTGTTTAAGCTTGCTTGTTCTTCCTATGCATGTCTACAATCTCTCCATTTAAATGTAAATTCACAGAACTTCGAAGTGGCATCTAAAGCAATGCCTTAATATATATTATAAGCAATATTCAGTTATTTAATATGGAAAGATTATTGACAGCTATCCAGAACGATGAGTTAATATGCTTGTGTCCAAGAACCCTATGCTTCCTTCTCCATAGGCCTTGCCTCACCCAGGTTTTCTCCCCTCCCGTTCGGGGGAGGTCCTGGCTCTTTACCCACAATCCTCGGCTCTCCGACTAAACTTGCTGCATTTAACCTCGTGCCCAGTCCGGAGATGATGCCGCTTGAACCAGTTCATGCACCGTTTGGAAAGTTCAGACCAAACACATACCCAGAAAGCATTGCTGCCATTGCAGGTAATTGGGTGATGTGTCAATTTAACTTGCTCACAATGCTGATTGTAGGAAGACCTTTGGACTCTTGTCTTTTGAGATTTGCTTTGATAATTAGATTTGAATGAAAATAGAATCACACAGTTGTCACCAATAATGGTATGTAGTTAGACCCTGATGATGCAATTGATGAAGTTTTCGTAGGGTGTGTTCAAGGATCATGTTGTAGGTATGTGTTATAGGAGGACTACCGTTGTGCTCTGTGGCCTGGGGACCATTTTCTTTCTTGATCAAGACAGTGTAATAAATTCCCTGTATGATGCTGTGACAATGTCTATGTGTATTTAGGGTAATCACTGGGATAATTAGGGTAATCACTGGGATAATCAGGGTAATCATGAACTGAGGCAATTACGGAAATCATGAACTGCAGAAATCATGAACTGAGGCAATTACGGAAATAATGAACTAAGGTAATAACGGAAATCATGTTCTAAGGTAATTACGGAAATCATGAACTGAGGCAATTATGGAAATAATCATGAACAGGTAATTATGGAAATACTGTACTGAGGTAATTACGGAAATCATTAACTGAGGTAATTACGGAAATCATGAATTGAGGTAATTACGATAATCATGAACTGAGGTAATTTTGGGGTATTTATTAACTGAGGTGATATGGGTAATTATGAACTGAGGTAATTATTGATTGAAATACATTACATAATTTGAACTAGCTGATAAACAAAAAGTGATACATGGATTTGAATCAAATTTGCCAGGATCGCCAATCATCTGTGTTGAGTCCCCATTTGATGTAGCTGGAGTATGCTTGTCTGTTATATAAAGAGATTTGCAAGTAGTACATCCTGTCAACTGGAACATATGAATTCTAAGACTATTATTATTGTTTTAGCCTAAACCTAGGTTATGACAGTCCATATGTAAGGAGTAATATATACTGAACACATGGAAAGGGACAAGTTCAGGCTTCCAGACCCCAAAGTAATTAGAGCAGGCTTGTGTGTGTAAATTTAGGCAAACTTATGAAATACAGGGTTTGAAGAACAAGTTTATCCCTGATGGAATTGTTTTTGTGTGGTTATATAACATTTCAAATGTCATTTGTTAGGAAGGAACATTTTTGTATGGTGGAAACTTTCTCAGATTCCTTTCATCAACATTTCCCAGTTATCTTTTGTTCAAATCCACTGGGGATTTCTTTTGTGTGAAAGGATAAACCACTGATGTTGTTCGCACCTGGGACAAGCTGATAAAGTGAAGGTCTAGTGTGATATCCTGGATGTCATCACTCTTACTTGACACATGCTAGTCACACAATTGACTTGTGACTGAGGCTTGGCACCTCACTTGACAGCTTGTGGGGATTCCTGGGTAGAACTGTTCTCCAGCAACTATACTGTTCATGAGATGCGATTTAATGGATTGGATACAGTACTAATACCATGATTTTATAGTGTTGATAAACAGTTTGTGTTTTCAGGTAGCTGTTTACTGCTATCTGACTGACAAAACATCATATGTGCTTGTGTTGCAGCTTCTCCAGAAGCCAACAGGTTAGAGTACCCCCGGTCCGATTCCGACCCCTGCTCCCTGGCCCGAGGGGGAACAAGCTTGCTCTCTCAGCAGCTGCTCAAGGCTGCATTCGGCACACAGACAGGTGAGGCCTTGTTATACTCTCTCTGTGACTGTACAGGCAGGGAAATGATGTGCAGCGTTTCAAGATCCTCTAACATGGTTGTATGTCAACTGGACATGTTCGTGTTAGATTCTTATGAAGAAATCTGCCACACATTGACCCAGCAGGGATTGTGGGGCAGAATAGGTTAAATGACCCCTTTGAAGTAACATGACAACATGAAGATTGAGTGATTACACTGCAGGTATTTATATATACTACTCAAAAGAGGTTAAAGAACACCCAATTTGTGCTGAGGACTAGTTACGCTGCCATGCCATGACAGATTAACTTGTCATATGAAAAAAATGTGTTCCTTAACTTCTTTTGAGTAGTATAAATCTGTTCAAAGGAGATATTCAGTCCCAAGTTTGCAGCAAATGACAGGGAAAATTCTCAATTTGAAATTAAGAAATTCTCAATTTCTCTGAATTTACAAAAATAAGAACATTACCAAAAATCAAAATCTCAATTATCCCCCCAACTTGTCTGCCAAGGGTACTTAGGTTGGAATCCTAGAGACGCCTCTGGCCCTGTGTGTCAGCCATACTTGTGGGAGCTGATGGTTGCTCTTGTTACCAACCATAGGTTAGCCAGACCCAGACCCAGTAAGTATAGGGTGCTCATACAGGGAAATGTGATTCGTGCCGACCTGTTGATCCAGGAACCCACCTTCCTTGTACTTACTGTTATACATGCAAGTGTACAAAGCGACATTACTCCGTCACAGGGATTTGTTAATCCGGAAATGTGTTAATCTGGACGATTTCAATCCAAATGCTGTTTGTTGTTCGGATTGACAGGGTTTCACTGTAACTAGATATATGCTTGCTATAGTTAATCAGTCCTGCCTTGACACCCAATTCTTTCAAATTTACTGCAGTTAATCCGTCCTGCCATATCAGATTAGCTGTAGTAATAGGAAAGACCTTTTGTTCTTCGACTTCTTTTAAGTAGTATATATCTGAAACATTCAAAAAAGAGCATACTGAGAGCTTCTATCAGCTTATCAAGTGCAAGTGGCTGTGTCATGCGTACCTAGAAGTGAAGATAGTGTTGACATGGAATTCAGCTTTGTTACTACACTGGTCCCTCGCTATAACGCTACCAATGGGGTCCAAATAATTGAGCGTTATAGACAATGAGCCGAGGCGGAGTCGTAGGGGATGAACAACACAACAGTGTGCTCGGCCAATCTCACGATCCTCGCCTCGCCTCGCACATTGCAATGATAAGAGTTGTTTACGGTTCATAGTGTAAAAATAAATATGTATTTTTTTGCCGTTTTTTATTATTCACCGTATGTAAATGTAATGTTGGTATGGATGCTAGTACCTAGGTGTGTGGTGTGGTGTGGTGTGGTGTGGTGTGGTGTGGTGTGGTGTGGTGTGGTGTGGTGTGGTGTGGTGTGGTGTGGTGTGGTGTGGTGTGGTGTGGTGTGGTGTGGTGTGGTGTGGTGTGTAGAGGAGTGGAGTGGAGTGTAGGGGAGTGGAGTGGAGTGGAGTGGAGTGGAGTGGAGTGCTTGGTGGAATCCATGTAGTATATTGATACTACAATTTCTGACTGCGGTTTACAGATAACATACCTAGAACTATGTTCTATTGTGTGTCAGGAGCGGGTCAGATGATCACCTACAGTGGGAGGACAGGGAGCCGGGAGCGTCTCAACTCAGGGGGCAGTGACAAGACAGGCTCCATGGAGAGGGAGCGATCCTCCTCCTACTTCCGGAGAAGCAGCAACTACAATATGGAGACATCCCCACCAGCATCTGGCTTGTACGCCCAGTCACCGCCTAATATGGAAGGACCAATCACATTTGTTGCTCCGGAGCTGTCAGAGGAAACCTTGATGGATGTAAGGAAATTATGTAAATTATGTCCTTGCAATGTGAAGCTCCATTGCCATGAAACATAATTTCATTGGTATTTCTTTCTGTAAAATATTAATTTTAACTTTTCCTGACTGATATTAATTTGCATTTGGTGAGAGATGTTTTATGTTGTCCGGGAATACAACACAGGAATTAGCCACAACCTTTCGGTAATAGTTGTTGTTGTTGTTGGTTTGTTGTTTAACGCCGCACTCAGCAATATTCCAGCTATATGACGGCGGTCTGTAAATAATCGAGTCTGGACCAGACAATACGGTGATTAATATCATGAGCATCGATCCACGCATTTGGGATCGATGACATGCATCAACCAAGTCAGCGAGCCTTTCGGTAATAAGAAGGATAAGCAAATTAGAGTCAGGAGAAGTATAAATTATATTTTTGTTAGAAAAACATTCTATTTTTTTTCTTGTCTAGCTGAAGATTTTAATGCTTAGTGACATAAATCTGTGATACCTGGTAGTTTTGCGGTCATTTGTTTGATTTAATGCTTTCGTCACAGTATGGCTGAAATACAGGCCACACGACTAACCCATTAGAAATTAATGTGAACTAAGGGAGGTAATATTACTGATGGGAGATAATTGCTACAGATATTTTGGCATTAGAGGAATTAAGATTCCTACTTTGGACCTGTGGTTACAGTGGCAGCTTGGGTCAATGTAACTCATGGTGGAGGAAGACCCATATTTTTTCTCGAGTTGGTGTCGGTGTGTGAAGACCATTCTTTGTGTCTTCCACTGTATTAAAGCTAGAATATACCACCTCCATCCTTCAGGGAATAGAGTGTTTGCCCGTATAGAGGAATGGTTGCTGTTTGATCCCCTGGCTACATCATACCAAACAACACTAAAACATGGTACTTGTTGTTACTGGGCCTAGTGCTCGGCATTAAGGGGATAAAAAAAGAACTTGTCGGCTTGGAGTCAGTATAGTGAGTGAGTGAGTTTGGTTTTACGCCGCTTTTAGCAATATTCGAGCAATATCACGGCGGGGGACACAGAAATGGGCTTCACACATTGTACCCATGTCGGGAATTGAACCCGGATCTTCGGCGTGACGAAAGAACGCTTTTACCACTAGGCTACCCGACCACCCCTTGGAGTCAGTATACGTGACTGGCATGGTGTCTCAGTGGGCCGGCATGATAAAACCGTCTTAAGTCCTATTTAAGTGCAATATCAATGCAACATCAGTGCAATAATCTTTAACGTGACATTAAACCCAAATTCACCTCACCTTTTGCTAGAATATTGCTCAAAGCAAAATTAAAACCAATTAATTTTTCACATTTAAATTATAGACGTTATGGCAGTGATAGATTTGGTTATTTAATGGATAGTCCTGTCTTTGATCAGTTGAATAACAATGGTGTATTTCTCCAGGAACAACACAATGAGATCATGGCCAAGTTGAGCTTTGTCCTGGACTTGGTGGAATGTATCATGGAACTGGCCCAGGCCAGGGGAGCTGCCCTCAGCACATTCAATGACTCCGTGTCATGTAAACAGGTAGGTCCACTGTGCAACCCCAGTACCCATGCTGGTCGTATTAGCAGTGAGACTGTGAGACGTTTCACTGTACAACCCCAGTACACATGCTGGTGGTATTAGCTGTGAAACTGTGAGATGTTTCACTGTACAACCCCAGTACCCATGCTGGTCGTATTAGCTGTGAAACTGTGAGACGTTTCACTGTACAACCCCAGTACCCATGCTGGTCGTATTAGCTGTGAGACTGTGAGATGTTCCACTGTATAACCCCAGTACCCAATACTAACCATGCTGGTCGTATTAGCTGTGAGACTGTGAGACGCTCCACTGTACAACCCCAGTACCCATGCTGGTCGTATTAGCTGTGAGACTGTGAGATGTTATCACACCCTAACAAAGCAGTATTAGAAATGGGCACTAGTCCTGTAGTCCTTACCAAACTGCCGAATAGTTAAGGTATCATAAGGACTAGTAGAAATTTGCCATTTTGAGGGGATTTGCTATATGTTATCACTAGTGGACTAAAGTTATGTTCTACTGCTGCAAGGGGGATTGCTGTACTATCAGCTCCTGTACATGGTCTACACAGGTTTAGCTACTGACTGCAGTGGTACTGCTGGAATATTGCACACTGTGGCATAAACATTTGCTGGATCTACATCCGAAATGTAGATTCTGGGTTAGAATTCAATTAGGTTGTGACTAGGGCTGGGACGGGTCCAAATTTTCTACCTGGGTACCCATCACCCTATTACCCGACCCTACCCGCTGTAGATATCTAGAGATAGGGACAAACTGTCGGATTTGGAAAAGTTTAACCGTAACCCTGGCAAAATGTATATAGATACACGTGTAAAACGATCCGCTCATGCATACACTGAAGTTTAATGCATGAAGTTTTAAATTTATTCAAACATATAAAATTAAGAAGGAATGGGTGCATTGTCAGAAAGAAATGGGAATATTAGTGACTTATAGTGTAACCATAGAGTTTTAATTTTTGTCATTAAACAATATATATCACGTGACTAATCACGGGTCCGGGTAGTCCTGTGGGTACCCGGGTCCTACTCAGGACCCAATCGACCCGAGTACCCGAGTACCCGAGTTACCCGTCCCAGCCCTAGTTGTGACTGTTCTCATTGTACCCCACGACAGTGTCATTTGGCATTCATGCAGTCACTTGTGGTGTTGAACAAGACTGGACTATTTACAGGCAGACGATTTTCTGGACTGCCACGTGAGGCAACATTAATGCACTCACTCTCTTAGTTTCCACATCTTAGAACATGACCGAATCCTTTAAGATGATAGATTTGAGAAATCATGTCATGATTGAAAGTATCTTAACGTTTTGGTTTAAGACAATAAGGATATTGATGTCTCCCATTGTTTCCAGGGTGAGAGTTTGCCAGCAGAACAGCTGCCTAGATTTACAGAAGCTCAGAGGTAAGAACACTCAAGACTTTTAATCCAGAGAAAAATTTGTTTCCTATAGATCTATTATGTTAAATTTGATTTTAGTATTCTTATAGGGTCAGAAATGGAGTAATATGTTATAAGTCTTTGCCCAATAATTTACAGTTTACAGCCCTGACTTGTCTTTCAAAGACTTAAGTAGATTTTGATTTATGCATACTTTGTTAAGTTAGCTTGCTCAACCAAGAGGTGTGGTTACGTTTGATGACGTTTTAGTCCTGGTTGAATGGGCCAGTGGTAGTAAAACTACCACTCCAGGCATCTTGTCCCCAGTCTCACTAATTGCTGGAGCATAAAGGGAAGTAACTCTATCTTCAAAACACAGGCTTGTGTACCACACTCAATTTCTTTTATTCTTGTGGAGCCTCCTTGGTAGAAGAGTAAGGCTGTTGTATTCCAGAGGCAACTGTACTGATAATTAGGATAATTACCAAAGATTATACTATAATTATCGATAAATGGAAACACAGCACTGACTCCCAAGAAATGAATTATGTAAAAAAGGGAACAGCGGTTCAGGTGATGAATATGTTTTCAGTCAGCATGATGTTGTATAAATTTTTGAAAATAGCACACAGTGCTCAAAATTAAGCATGAAAGTCAAGCTGTCATTAACCTAATATAAAGTGAAAAAAAAGTAGAGGGTCTTCCGTAGAGGGAACTTCAAATAGTTTGGGAGCAAAGTTTAAGATTTCCCCCGAACATGGATCTCAGCATCAGTTTCGGGGGGAGTTTAGTGTTTTCATAGTGACCATTATTAGCTTACTAGGCCAAACCAAATTTGACTGGATTCGGGCGTCTGGTTAGAGGCTAAAGTCACAGACTGTGTTAGTGATGATGTGATTTGTGTCTACAGGCGCCTGGAACAGCTAGTGCTGTTTGTGAGATCCCTACACCTGCTGTCCTCTGCACTACAGTTATCTCGGCAGGAGATCAAATCGGGACGCCTTCACTCCTCTAATGCCCTTAAAGCAGGTCAGCTGGTGTATAGAGATCAAGTTCAAAAAAGCAAATGGAGCTGTATGGCTCTGTTTTGAGGCTATTTTGATCATGTGATAATTTATTGTGATGAATTTGAAATATTTGACTTACTATGACGGTTCTTGAATGTTATTTGAATGTAGATTACTGTTGACATAAACTGTTGCCAGTGTGTCAGAAATCAGGGGACCCATATTGTTCAGTAATGGACTGTCATTGGATTTTGGACTTTGCCCCTGAAAATCCGAAGGACTATATAGCCTTTAATTTTTATAGAAATGCTACATAACCCTTATTATAGACTGGTTTGATTTAGATTTTAGCCTCATTGTTTCTTTCACTGCACCTCTATGATGATCTGGGTTAGAATTGGACTTCAGCAACCCATACTTGTTGTAAGGGGAGACTGATGGGATAAGGCAGTCCCGCTCGCTGACTTGGTTGATGTATATCATCTTGTCCTAATTGCGTAGACTGATGTTTATGACGTAAATCACTTGACTGGACAAATCTTTCACTGCTAGGGGTGCCTGGGCAGCCTAGTGGTTAAAGTGTTCTCTCGTCACACTGAAGATCTGGGTTTGATTCCCCACATGGGTACAATGTGATACCCATTTCTGGTGTCACTCGCTGGAATATTGCTAAAAGTGGCATAAAACCATACTAAGAGATCCACAAGTCAATCGTGTCTACATTGATGCTACAGCTTCTAAATGCCACTTTATGTTCTTGATGCTGTATTGTCTGCTGCTGTTGTTTCAGTATTGAAGCAGATGAATGACTACTACCACCGGTGTGTTCTGGAGTGTCGACAGCTGCACCAGAGACTGGGGACCACGTGTAAAACCCCCCTCACTCCCCAGCTTGTGGTGGCCACTGCCGACAAACTCATCTACAACTACGCAATCGAGATGGTGAGTAGGATATAGCCAACATTAACAGAGATACTGACGAGACATGAAGGAGACGTGATCTAAACATATGGATCCACTTGCCCAAACAGATCTTGGCTCTACGACTATTGTAACTCCCTCTGTGTTACTTTGAACTACAATGGTCGTAGGGCTACACTCACTTTGTGCACGTGGACCATAGGGTGGGACTACATGATGAGGAACTAAGTTGTATTTTTCACAAGTCTGCATAAGTGATCTGTAACAGAGGTGTCATCTAGGCAGGGTGATGGAAGTGGGAGTCCACAGGGCAGAGGTGTCATCTAGGCAGGGTGATGGAAGTGGGAGTCCACAGGGCAGAGGTGCCATCTAGGCAGGGTGATGGAAGTGGGAGTCCACAGGGCAGAGGTGCCATCTAGGCAGGGTGATGGAAGTGGGAGTCCACAGGGCAGAGGTGCCATCTAGGCAGGGTGATGGAAGTGGGAGTCCACAGGGCAGAGGTGTCATCTAGGCAGGGTGATGGAAGTGGGAGTCCACAGGGCAGAGGTGTCATCTAGGCAGGGTGATGGAAGTGGGAGTCCACAGGGCAGAGGTGTCATCTAGGCAGTGTGATGGAAGTGGGAGTCCACAGGGCAGAGGTGTCATCTAGGCAGTGTGATGGAAGTGGGAGTCCACAGGGCAGAGGTGTCATCTAGGCAGTGTGATGAAAGTGGGAGTCCACAGGGCAGAGGTGTCATCTAGGCAGGGTGATGAAAGTGGGAGTCCACAGGGCAGAGGTGTCATCTAGGCAGGGTGATGGAAGTGGGAGTCCACAGGGCAGAGGTGCCATCTAGGCAGTGTGATGGAAGTGGGAGTCCACAGGGCAGAGGTGCCATCTAGGCAGGGTGATGGAAGTGGGAGTCCACAGGGCAGAGGTGTCATCTAGGCAGGGTGATGGAAGTGGGAGTCCACAGGGCAGAGGTGTCATCTAGGCAGTGTGATGGAAGTGGGAGTCCACAGGGCAGAGGTGTCATCTAGGCAGGGTGATGGAAGTGGGAGTCCACAGGGCAGAGGTGTCATCTAGGCAGTGTGATGGAAGTGGGAGTCCACAGGGCAGAGGTGTCATCTAGGCAGTGTGATGGAAGTGGGAGTCCACAGGGCAGAGGTGTCATCTAGGCAGCGTGATGGAAGTGGGAGTCCACAGGGCAGTGTCAGGGATGCAGTGTCATGAATTTTATGGACAAGCGGACTGATGGAACTCAAACCCTGGACTAGATTGATCTGTGGTTAGTCTGCCCAGAGGGGCCCACTCGACTAAAATGCTGGAATTCGCTGTGCAGATTTTAGTTGACCGCCCAGAGGGTGGAAGGTCAGTGGTCGATCCCCTGGCTAGCACTATGAAATGGGATCGGGCTGTCAGGCTCGCTGGCTTCGTTGATGCCTGTCATCATATCCCAATTGTGTGGATCGATGCTCATGCTGTCAATGACTGGATTTTCTGGTTCGAACTCAATTATTTACACCCCGCTGTCATATAGCTGGAATATTGCCGAGTGTGGCGTTGAACAACAAACAAACAAACATTATGAAACCGGCATTAGTCCTGACTAGTACAAGCAGCCACACACATGCATCATGTAATATAACTATAAGTGAAATTATCATGAACCATTTCACCTGACCTTTATGAAGACCTGGCAGTTTATTGATCCGTTTGTTTCAGTGCCAAGGAGCTGCCCTAGATGAACTCTTTGGTAATCCTAAGGAGGTGAGTGATTCTTTCTGTAAATATACAAATAGTCAAACTCATCATAGTCACTCATGGAGGCTGACTCCACATTATCACAGTGCCATAAACCAAATTGAAAATGACCAACAGATCTGTCATGGTGTTACTGCGAAGTTAAGGCAACACACACTGAAGGGGGTTAGAATTATTCTTGGAGGGATGTTGGGTACCATTGTGTTTTTTGCATTCTAATCACATAGCAAGGCCCAGGTTTATTTTTCCTATTCTTTGTGTTACCTGCTTTCATATAGCTTTATCTTTGATTAACTAGCTTATGATAAAATAACCTTCACCAAGATTGAATATGGGTCAAAATATTGTTCTTGTTGACATGAATTTAAATTCTGAATGGCACAACTGAACATCTTTTAAGAAAATACATTTCTATCCCTGGATGTGTAACCAAAAGTGACATTGCTTGGATATCGCAAAAAATGCCATAAAACCATACTCAATCTCGCTCAGTCACTCACATTTAGTGGCTCAAGTTTTGTACGAACCGTGGGAATATGTACAAATGTAGTTTAGGAGTGACACATTACACAAGGCCATGATACGATACGTATCTCGAAATGCCAAAATAACAACACAAAGGCCATGAACTTAATATATGTGTGATTTCAGATGTGTGTAAAAATGGCTTCAGTTTCTCCCTGTTAACTGTTCATCACAAAAAGTAACAGGAAAGCTAAAATGATCCCAGACTGCTGATTTGTAGGACACAGTGGGGCCTTTGAAGCCCTATAATCTGTTTAGAGAGGCTAAGTCTTTCATTAAGAGAGTGCTTATTTTTTATAGTCACGTATTGAAATTCAGGTTAGTAATTCAAGTCCATGTATCGCAGTACATGAGAGTTTCACTGCTTGGTTTCACCTGAGTCCCCTGTTGTTTGCAGTGTTTCCGTCGCTACACGGTGGCCCAGATCCTGCTCCACAGTCTGGCACAGCAGGCCCCCAACTCCCGGGACAAGGACCTCCTCAATAAGTGTAAGTAGCACAGCTGGCCCCCAACTCTCGGGACTAGGACCTCCTCAATAAGTGTAAGTAGCACAGCAGGTCCCCAACTCCCGGGACAAGGACCTCCTCAATAAGTGTAAGTAGCACAGCAGGCCCCCAACTCCCGGGACAAGGACCTCCTCAATAAGTGTAAGTAGCACAGCAGGTCCCTAACTCCCGGGACAAGGACCTCCTCAATAAGTGTAAGTAGCACAGCAGGTCCCCAACTCTCGGGACAAGGACCTCCTCAATAAGTGTAAGTAGCACAGCAGGGACAAGGTCCTCCTCAATAAGTGTAAGTAGCACAGCAGGGACAAGGACCTCCTCAATAAGTGTAAGTAGCACAGCTGGCCCCCAACTCTCGGGACTAGGACCTCCTCAATAAGTGTAAGTAGCACAGCAGTCCCCCAACTCCCGGGACAAGGACCTCCTCAATAAGTGTAAGTAGCACAGCAGGTCCCTAACTCCCGGGACAAGGACCTCCTCAATAAGTGTAAGTAGCACAGCAGGTCCCTAACTCCCGGGACAAGGACCTCCTCAATAAGTGTAAGTAGCACAGCAGGTCCCCAACTCTCGGGACAAGGACCTCCTCAATAAGTGTAAGTAGCACAGCAGGTCCCCAACTCTCGGGACAAGGACCTCCTCAATAAGTGTAAGTAGCACAGCTGGCCCCCAACTCCCGGGACAAGGACCTCCTCAATAAGTGTAAGTAGCACAGCAGGTCCCCAACTCCCGGGACAAGGACCTCCTCAATAAGTGTAAGTAGCACAGCAGTCCCCCAACTCCCGGGACAAGGACCTCCTCAATAAGTGTAAGTAGCACAGCAGGTCCCCAACTCCCGGGACAAGGACCTCCTCAATAAGTGTAAGTAGCACAGCAGGCCCCCAACTCCCGGGACAAGGACCTCCTCAATAAGTGTAAGTAGCACAGCAGGTCCCCAACTCTCAGGACAAGGACCTCCTCAATAAGTGTAAGTAGCACAGCAGGCCCCCAACTCCTGGGACAAGGTCCTCCTCAATAAGTGTAAGTAGCACAGCAGGCCCCCAACTCCCGGGACAAGGACCTCCTCAATAAGTGTAAGTAGCACAGCAGGCCCCCAACTCCCGGGACAAGGACCTCCTCAATAAGTGTAAGTAGCACAGCAGGCCCCCAACTCCCGGGACAAGGTCCTCCTCAATAAGTGTAAGTAGCACAGCAGGCCCCCAACTCCCGGGACAAGGACCTCCTCAATAAGTGTAAGTAGCACAGCAGGCCCCCAACTCCCAGGACAAGGACCTCCTCAATAAGTGTAAGTAGCACAGCAGGGACAAGGACCTCCTCAATAAGTGTAAGTAGCACAGCAGGCCCCCAACTCCCGGGACAAGGACCTCCTCAATAAGTGTAAGAAGCACAGCAGGGACAAGGACCTCCTCAATAAGTGTAAGTAGCACAGCAGGCCCCCAACTCCCGGGACAAGGACCTCCTCAATAAGTGTAAGAAGCACAGCAGGGACAAGGACCTCCTCAATAAGTGTAAGTAGCACAGCAGGCCCCCAACTCCTGGGACAAGGTCCTCCTCAATAAGTGTAAGTAGCACAGCAGGGACATGGACCTCCTCAATAAGTGTAAGTAGCACAGCAGGGACATGGACCTCCTCAATAAGTGTAAGTAGCACAGCTGGCCCCCAACTCCCGGGACAAGGTCCTCCTCAATAAGTGTAAGTAGCACAGCAGGGACAAGGTCCTCCTCAATAAGTGTAAGTAGCACAGCAGGGACATGGACCTCCTCAATAAGTGTAAGTAGCACAGCAGGCCCCCAACTCCCGGGACAAGGACCTCCTCAATAAGTGTAAGTAGCACAGCAGGCCCCCAACTCCCGAGACAAGGTCCTCCTCAATAAGTGTAAGTAGCACAGCAGGCCCCCAACTCCGGGACAAGGACCTCCTCAATAAGTGTAAGTAGCACAGCAGGCCCCCAACTCCCGGGACAAGGTCCTCCTCAATAAGTGTAAGTAGCACAGCAGGCCCCCAACTCCCGAGACAAGGTCCTCCTCAATAAGTGTAAGTAGCACAGCAGGCCCCCAACTCCCAGGACAAGGACCTCCTCAATATGTGTAAGTAGCACAGCAGGCCCCCAACTCCTGGGACAAGGTCCTCCTCAATAAGTGTAAGTAGCACAGCAGGGACATGGACCTCCTCAATAAGTGTAAGTAGCACAGCAGGGACATGGACCTCCTCAATAAGTGTAAGTAGCACAGCAGGCCCCCAACTCCTGGGACAAGGACCTCCTCAATAAGTGTAAGTAGCACAGCAGGCCCCCAACTCCCGAGACAAGGTCCTCCTCAATAAGTGTAAGTAGCACAGCTGGCCCCAAGCTCCCGAGACAAGGTCCTCCTCAATAAGTGTAAGTAGCACAGCAGGGACAAGGACCTCCTCAATAAGTGTAAGTAGCACAGCTGGCCCCCAACTCCCGGGACAAGGACCTCCTCAATAAGTGTAAGTAGCACAGCAGGGACATGGACCTCCTCAATAAGTGTAAGTAGCACAGCTGGCCCCCAACTCCCGAGACAAGGTCCTCCTCAATAAGTGTAAGTAGCACAGCAGGCCCCCAACTCTCGGGACAAGGACCTCCTCAATAAGTGTAAGTAGCACAGCAGGCCCCCAACTCCCGGGACAAGGTCCTCCTCAATAAGTGTAAGTAGCACAGCAGGCCCCCAACTCCCGAGACAAGGTCCTCCTCAATAAGTGTAAGTAGCACAGCAGGCCCCCAACTCCCAGGACAAGGACCTCCTCAATATGTGTAAGTAGCACAGCAGGCCCCCAACTCCTGGGACAAGGTCCTCCTCAATAAGTGTAAGTAGCACAGCAGGGACATGGACCTCCTCAATAAGTGTAAGTAGCACAGCAGGGACATGGACCTCCTCAATAAGTGTAAGTAGCACAGCAGGCCCCCAACTCCTGGGACAAGGACCTCCTCAATAAGTGTAAGTAGCACAGCAGGCCCCCAACTCCCGAGACAAGGTCCTCCTCAATAAGTGTAAGTAGCACAGCTGGCCCCCAACTCCCGAGACAAGGTCCTCCTCAATAAGTGTAAGTAGCACAGCAGGGACAAGGACCTCCTCAATAAGTGTAAGTAGCACAGCTGGCCCCCAACTCCCGGGACAAGGACCTCCTCAATAAGTGTAAGTAGCACAGCAGGGACATGGACCTCCTCAATAAGTGTAAGTAGCACAGCTGGCCCCCAACTCCCGAGACAAGGTCCTCCTCAATAAGTGTAAGTAGCACAGCAGGCCCCCAACACCCGGGACAAGGACCTCCTCAATAAGTGTAAGTAGCACAGCTGGCCCCCAACTCCCGAGACAAGGTCCTCCTCAATAAGTGTAAGTAGCACAGCAGGCCCCCAACTCCCGGGACAAGGACCTCCTCAATAAGTGTAAGTAGCACAGCAGGCCCCCAACTCCCGGGACAAGGACCTCCTCAATAAGTGTAAGTAGCACAGCTGGCCCCCAACTCCCGGGACAAGGACCTCCTCAATAAGTGTAAGTAGCACAGCTGGCCCCCAACTCTCAGGACAAGGACCTCCTCAATAAGTGTAAGTAGCACAGCAGGCCCCCAACTCTCGGGACAAGGACCTCCTCAATAAGTGTAAGTAGCACAGCTGGCCCCCAACTCTCAGGACAAGGACCTCCTCAATAAGTGTAAGTAGCACAGCAGGCCCCCAACTCCCGGGACAAGGACCTCCTCAATAAGTGTAAGTAGCACAGCTGGCCCCCAACTCCCGAGACAAGGACCTCCTCAATAAGTGTAAGTAGCACAGCTGGCCCCCAACTCCCGGGACAAGGACCTCCTCAATAAGTGTAAGTAGCACAGCAGGCCCCCAACTCCCGGGACAAGGACCTCCTCAATAAGTGTAAGTAGCACAGCTGGCCCCCAACTCCTGGGACAAGGACCTCCTCAATAAGTGTAAGTAGCACAGCAGGCCCCCAACTCCTGGGACAAGGACCTCCTCAATAAGTGTAAGTAGCACAGCTGGGACAAGGACCTCCTCAATAAGTGTAAGTAGCACAGCTGGCCCCCAACTCCCGGGACAAGGTCCTCCTCAATAAGTGTAAGTAGCACAGCAGGGACAAGGTCCTCCTCAATAAGTGTAAGTAGCACAGCAGGGACAAGGACCTCCTCAATAAGTGTAAGTAGCACAGCAGGCCCCCAACTCCCGGGACAAGGACCTCCTCAATAAGTGTAAGTAGCACAGCAGGCCCCCAACTCCCGGGACAAGGACCTCCTCAATAAGTGTAAGTAGCACAGCAGGCCCCCAACTCCCGGGACAAGGACCTCCTCAATAAGTGTAAGTAGCACAGCAGGCCCCCAACTCCCAGGACAAGGACCTCCTCAATAAGTGTAAGTAGCACAGCTGTCTCCTCAGTGGTAAAAAGTGGTCAGTCTATACATTACAGCATCGTCAGGACTTCATGGTTTTGTATACACCCCGTTCGTTCACCAGTGATGAACGGCCACTATGTAGTGTTTTTTTTAACCAACCAATGCAGTAAAGCCCTGGTTCCTGAGAGAGGGAAAACAGTGTTCTGACCAATGAGTGCTCAGATTAAGTCAACTAACGGCAGTGATTCTCACTTGACAACATGACCAACATGTTCCATAGCCGTGTAATTGCCTGCTCTACACTTTGTGTGCCTTTCCCAAGAAAATCTGGGTTAGAATCAGCAACCCAAGCTTGTTGTAAGGGCCGGACTAATGGGATCAAGCATGTCGTCATATTCCAATTGCGTAGATCAATGCTCACGATGCAAGAAGTCTCCCTGCAACAACATTAGAAAGAATACAGATGTTATCCATAATAAAGTGTCATATATGCTTGTCATGCATAAACTTAAAAAAAATTGTTTCCATTTTCACCTACAATACTTCTTGGCTCTCAATATCAGGATTCTGGGGAAATCTTCTTACTGATTAGGTCTCCTCCAAGATTTAGTTGTTATCCCTATTTTTGTTTCTTCTTGCAGACAAAGAGTCTGTAGAGCGTCGTCTATCAAACCTACAGAGTCAAGGTGTGATGAATCCGTATGATGCTTACAGTTGATCTATAGGCTTCTCCCAGGACTGATGGACTGCTCATCTACAGCTGATAGACCAGACTAACACCTACCTAACATACAAAATAGGATAGTTCTTGTGTCAAGACCAGACTACAACCTACCTAACATACAAAATAGGATAGTTCTTGTGACAAGACCAGACTACAACCTACCTAACATACAAAATAGGATAGTTCTTGTGACAAGACCAGACTACAACCTACCTAACATACAAGATAGGATAGTTCTTGTGACAACAAGCCTCACAGTTAGAGGACCTGTCTCTGCTTCTGTGTATTCAGCTTCGGGACCAGTGTATTGTAGTTGAACAGCTACTGGTCTACAGCTGGATGCTTGGAAGGGACTAGTCTGCCTTTACCCTGTCTGTTGCACACCTTCAGGTTATGTGTACTATAATATCAGGTTACCACTGGAAATGTAGCGTGAGAATTGCAACAGTGAAGTGTGGACTTGTTAATGTAAATTTGCAATCCTAAAAGTATCAGCGTCGACATTATGGCCCTAACCTGGTCTTTAACGCACCAAGATCAAACCAATTTGTGATATCGTCAGTTGATTGACAAGGATATTCACCAGAAGGCTTGTCTCTCAACAGAAGAACTGTCTCCATCAGTCGTCTTGCCATCGGTTGTTAGGACCGTCAGTGTAGAGTGCAGTCATTGATAACAATGACTACCCTAGAGGGACTCCATGGACTAGAGTTAGGCTAGACATCCTGTGTGACAAAAGAGTGGAACTATTGATCATACCTCATTTCCAGTTGAGAATTTTGTTACTGAACCAAATACTTTATGGCATAACTGATTTGCATTTGATTTACTACTGCCATATTGTTCTGAGTTGACACGGAAGTCGGAGTTGCATGTGCCAAATACAAAGGGATACCCACAGCTCCTTTTTGGGGACCTGTTGCAAGGGAACTTCAGTGACTCAAATCTTGCATACTGCAATTTTATTTGCAACATACAACACAAATTCTTTCACAGATGCATTTCAGAATGCATTCTAGTCTCAAGGGGGGAGGCTAGGCTGCTGAAACCTTTGGACAAGAACTATGTTGATATAGTGCTTTTATGGACCCTTACAAATACCTCTGTTTCTGTCTTTCTGACCTATGAAAATAAAAGGGAAACGTACGTCGGAAAAACCCAAAATACCAAGGAAAAGGACTTGAAACAAATCAATATAATCCATGGTAAGAAGAGCAGCTACATCGTTGACATTGTTGATTTTGTACAGAAGGCACTGGAAATTCCTCCACGAGGACGTACCGCTGTGTGGACTTGTTTTGTGTCGCTTGGCTATGTGAGTGATGGACATGTTCGTATTACACCAGGAGGTGATTATACAAGGATGTGCTGTGTTGTACCAGTTATGGTAATATATTATCTGCTTTGAAGGGAGTTGGTCAGTTGTGATGCATGACGTTGTGACAGGGATGAGACGTGTTCTGGGAATGTAGCTGATAGCACAGTTGATGCTGAAGCTCTTCTTATCCCTGTCGGGAAGCGCTGGTGTTGTACGACAGTGATACTGTGTGTGTATATGTGACAATCTAACTACGACTAACACGTCTGTGTAAATTATATGTTGGTATTAGCCTATTCATCTGTTTGAGTTTGGTTAACTGACCTTTATCTGTAACAAAAAGAAAATGTTTTTAGGTGTGTGGTTATTTTAACACAAAAATTTGCAGTTTATGTGCGATTTTATGATTGCTTTTTTGTAGCAAAATTCATTTTATTGTGGACTAGTCTTATTTGTCAGTGCGTATTTTTTTCATCATTTCTTTCAAGTATGTTGCTTATTATTTTCAGTTATAAAAGCTGTTACTGGTGAAAGAATTTTACCTCTTGACAAAAAGACATCAACAGAATTTAAGTTCAATCGTATCTCTTTTAGCATGTATAGAAATAGAAGTAGAGGCCATGAAGTCATGAACAACAAATATTATTTTTGAATTTTCAGTCGGAAGACACAATTATGATTTACTAGTCACTTGATATGCGATGCCATTCACCTAGTCTTTTAGCTACCATTTTATACAACAGGAACTTGTACTCTGCTTTTAGTGACACAATTTAGATTTGTTCCACAATCAGTGAAGGTGATATAGCCTGTATCCTACAACAAACTCTGCAGTTCTTGGTCTATAGTGCTATGTGTATCATATATAACATGTCTTTTAGTCACGTATCAACCGCCCTAGGTTCTATTGCTTGGTAGACTGCCTATGAAGTGTTCAATATCAAGGGATAACCTTTAGGCTTGCTGAAGATGTAAACGCATGTAGCATGTCTAGAGCACCTGAAATCTTGAGTTTGTGACACTTGGTTATGACAAGGACTTTCATGCTTAAGTTTAAACGCTGCCATAGATATATTCCCATATTTGGTGCCATTCCCAACCATTCCTATCTGTATTGTATTCCAGCATTGAATTGGTTCCAATAGAATTGTTTCATGTTGAAATAGTATACTCACACTTGGTGTGTAAATTTATCAAGTCATAAGTCTCCATATTTGTTTGTACATTTATTTCAACTTATGTGATGTATTTAAGTTGTAATTTATAAATATGAAAAAAATTAACTGTTTCTTTTATGTTAAACATATGAACTTTGCTTATAGTATATTGTGATAGAAGCTGTTTTTTTCTATAGAATTTACCATGCATGTCAATGTAGATAGCATTTTCACATGGAATCTTGTTTTATTTGTACATAGCCCTGTTGAAAGTGCCTGACATCCAAAGGCATTGTGTTATATTAGATGTAAATAGCTGAAAGATTTTATTTCCTTTTATTTATTACCCCATGCTAAGAAAGCAACAACAAGTCTGTGAATGTGATCCATGTTGTGATGTGTATTGTCTGTACACACGAAGCCTACAGTCACCATTGCGGACTGCGTATTTAACACGATTAATTTAAGATATGTGTGTGAAAGAATGTTTTAATGCATTTAGACTTTTTAGTATATGTGTAGTTAGCACTCGTTGTCGCCACTGTATAGTGTCTCATCCCTTTATGCAATATTCACATCCTCTATATATTTTTTCTTTCTGACTCCCAACATGGGAGAATGTGTTCTTCAATCTTGAAGTTCCATCTGCATTCTCTTCGTGACCCCCAGTAATCATGTGTGCGACATTTTCGCTCTAGAAATCACTAGGATCTCCCATACTGATGGAGTTGTATAATAGACCTAGCAATTAGCCTTCAGGGACTGTTGTTTGATACCTCATCATAAAGGAGTGGTGAAATCTCATTCTGGTTCTGGTACTCCAAGCTTAGTGCTGTCTGGAGTCACTCTGTGTAATGGCAGGAGGATATGCTAGCCATGGAGAACCAAGGTCAAGCATCGTTTCATCTCTTGTCCTGAATTACCGAGCTTTGTATACCAGCTGTTTCATCGTCATCTTATTGCTGTAAACTGTTCATGTAATCAGCGTCACAATTTGTCATCAAACCAATTTTCCACTACCATGACTCTCAAGCACCATCTCAACTTGAATAAATTTATTACGGATATCCTTGCTTGTTTGTATCCTATTTATTCCCGAAATTTACCTTATGTGTTTAAATATGTAAATGTTTGGATATATTTCGAACTAAACTGACCCTGTTAGGGTTAGATCTTAATGTATACAAGATCATTTGCTTAATAGTTGGAAGCAGAAAGCTCCCTACTGCTGTATTGGTGGTATGTGGAAATACATGTGTATATGATCATTGTCATCATGCTTTGTGTGTGCTGCCCAAACAGGAAACGTAGGCCACACCCCTTTCTCCATCTTCATCATCTAATACCAGCGTATGGGGCATTAACTTCCGTATACCTCTGGCCAGGTAATTTCAATGGTGTAGCATGAAATACAAATGTTATGAGGCCCATCTTCGATTTATCCTGTGCATAATGTCTCCATTCTATTATGATAAATACACAGGACCTATTTACCACCATAGCTTGGTTTCGGAAGTGATGTCCTTATAACTTACTCAGGACGGAATATCTCTCACTCATGATTTTTATGATTGCAGTACTAGTTTCACCATTGTGCAATTGAATTGGGCTCAAATGAAGCTATGGTGGCGAATGATTCTTGTAAGTAGGCAAAAATAATAATTTACTTGTAAGTGACCATTTTGGCATAGTTAGGTCAAGCAAAGATGACACTTTGTTTAAGTTCTTGCTAATGTGGACATTCAGTAGCTGATCTTAAAACGAGAATCATTAGCAGAAAATAATTATCGCCCTGTCTTAAATAACTGGCTCAATGAGAACATTTTTTTCAACTTTTCATAAACCAGTGGTCTCTTCCACCACAGCCTGATGGGGAACTATTGTCCTGGGATGGCATTGAGGATGGGTTTCCTGCAGGGCCTTGTTCCACTGAGCAATCTTAACTCTACAACTGTTAAAGCTTACCCTGTCTGGCACTCGGCATTAAGGGGACAAGACAAGGACTGGTCGGCTCAGTCAGTGTACTGTGTCTGAGTGGGATATCCATTTTAAGCTGCGGCTTGGTATCTCAGTGAGCTAGCACTATAAAAACAACATCATTCTGAACTAATTACGAACGAACACACGCACAGACGCACATATCGCTCTATAAGTGCAATTATCTTGAACGCGATTAAACCCTATTTCACTGATCACTATGTTAAAGAATGGGAGTTACGATCGTATTAACACTAAGATCGCTAAGTGGAACAGGCCCAGGTAGGGAGATAAGATCAGTTGGTTAACGTCAGAATTTCATCAAAATAATTGTTGACCATGGTCACTTAATTTCCAAACCTCTCGGACTTAGTATGTGCTGTTGGTTTGTGAACTACAATGTTGAAGTAACTACATCTGTTTTCTTCAAACCTTTCCATCGTCAGTACTTCATGGGTTTGTATCCAGCACTGTCCTCCACCGCCCATGGTACATATGGCCACTTAGCATGCTTAGTGATGTAGTCGCTGTATTTAACCAAGGAACCAAAGACCTGATTCCAGTGAGAGGGAAACAACGAGCGTTCAGACCAGTGAGTGTACAGAATGAATGAGTATGGTTTAACGCCGCTTTTAGCATTATTCCAGCAATATCACGGCGGGGGACACCAGAAATGCGCTTCACACATTGTACCCATGTCGGGAATCGAACCCGGGTCTTCGGCGTGACGATCCAACGCTTTCACCACTAGGCTACCCGACCGCCCCTAAATGAGTGTACAGATTACATCAGCTTCAGTGTCAGGCAATGGTAGGGTTGCCACAAAGTTCAGGCATGGAGTGGGGACCCATGAAGATCCGGGGTAGAATAGGTCTTCAGCAACCCATGCTTGCCGTTACAGGTGACTATGCTTGTCGTAAGAGGCAACTAACCTTGCTGTCTTGGTTGATGCATGTCATCATATCCCAGCTGTGTGGATCAATGCTCATGATATTAATCACTGGACTGTTTGGTCCAGACTCGATTATTTACAGACTGCCGTCATAGCTGGAATATTGCTGAGTGCAGAATTAAACAAACAATAACATGGAGTGGGGGCAGGGGTGGCCCAGTCTGAGGTGTTGTAATTGGCTGTGCAGAGTTGCATACCATGGGGGTAACAGAAAGTATGATCGTGGGTTCAATTCCTCGTTCACCCTGATTATATTTCTCAGTTTGTCTTTGGGCTCACCAAAGTGGTAAGTGTCCGAGACCTGCATCACTTTGGGTTTTCCTCCCACATCAAGCTGACACACCGTGATATAACTGTAATACTGTTCAAAGTGGCATCAAACCCAACACACACTCACTTATGCACAGAGTAGATTTCCATGAGTTATGCACGGCCACATTTAATCACCTGACTGAAAACTGACACATTACTGAACTATGATAGCACATATCAGCCATATGTATTCATGGGTGAAGGAAGAATGTTGTGCAGACAAACCTGTGAAGTATTGAAGATGAAACCTTTTGTGCTGACATGCATTTGTTGTGCTATTTATCATGATATATCAACTATCTTGATCAACTTAATCATTGATGTAACATTGAAAACTCTCCCTATTTGAAGTGTCATTCATGAAGACGTCCTGGAAATGGCATCATTATGATCACCATTCCTGCAGAACTGAGACGTTTCATTCACAAAAGAAATCAAAGTTTACATGTTCATTGTAATATTGTTTTGTACTTCTTCAAGCGTCTGAAAATTTCAATACAATTACTAAAAGTCGACTGATTAGCATTTTATAAAACTTGGGGTTCAAATTGTGTCATGCAAGTTGGACTACCAAAACAGAATAATTACATTGGTTTGGCTTGTGTTGGTGTCTGATTGAAATGTTTACTTTTTCAGTTACAACAATCTAACAGCCACCGTAATTGAAATACCATTGAATTTGAAGTGGGAGTGAACATATATGAAGGATAATCAACCTTTTTCATACCTTTGTCAGAATAGAGATCTCAGCAAAGTGTATATTTGCATTGAACCAGTGTTGGAAAGTGATATGTGTTCCAGTACAACCCGGTTGCTGTAGATTGTTGATATTAGGCCTCTACTGCCTACCCATGCAATACAAGAGACAGGTGTACATGTATATAGATGGACAACTCTAAGTATTTATTTCAATAAAGCAGCACTTTGAGAGGACTGAAACTGTGTTTGTTGATTTGTTACAAAGAATATAATTCCGAGCCATCAATCAATGAATCTTGACAATACAGTTGATGAATAGACGATGCCTTTTTAGAAAATGGTGAAATGTAACATATGTTATCATATTACTACTTTGTACTTCACAGATTCTGGCACTTTTTCGGGTTGAATCCCATCTTGGATTCTGTTTTTACCACAGAATTTTGGTAATTTTTCTATCGAATTTTGATACTTTTACTGCAGAATTTGTCTGGGACTGACATATGTTACATTAAGGATTACACTTTCTGAGTTAAATCCAGCATAGTATTAGTACTTCACATCTGCCTCAATGACACAGCTTTTCAGAGTAAGATTGCAAGGGTACTTAAGAAAATGCAAAGGGATACAGAAAATAACGCACTGAACATTATCTCTATTCTCCAATAATACCCTGGACATAGTCACCACCTCAGCTTCATATCGGTAGTGATGTCACCATCTCCCTCTCTCTTATCACCTGACATGACCCGGGAAGATCCGGGTAGAATTAGGTCTTCAGCAACCCATGCTTGTCGTAAAAAGCGACTACGCCTGTTTTAAGGGACAACTAACGGGATCGGGTGGTCAGGCTTTCTAACTTGGTTGATGCATGTCATCATATCCCAATTGCGTGGATCAATGTGCATGATGTCAATCACTGGATTGTCTGGTCCAGACTCGATTATTTACAGACTGCTGTCATATAGCTGGAATATTGCTGAGTGTGGCATTAAACAACAAACAAACTTATGACTAATTTGCTACCAGGTGTTTCCAGGTTAGATTGGTAATGGTACGCAGCTGAGTGAGTGAGTACTGGTGACATCACTGCATGATCAGTCATGTAAGAACACTTGATTGGACAGCAATTATATGCAATGTCATTCAAACGAAACTCAAAAGAAAGCTATTGTGGCAAATGGGCCCTGAGTATTTTAGTTGGTTGGTTGATGTGTTGTTTTATGCCTCACTCAGCAATATTCCAACTATATGATGGCGGTCTGTAAATAATTGAGTCATCATCAGTCCAGAGTGAGTATGGTTTTACGCCGCTTTTAGCAATATTCCAGCAATATCATGGCGGGGGACACCAGAAATGGGCTTCACACATTGTACCCATGTCGGGAATCAAACCCGGGGCTTTGACGTGACAAGCGAACGCTTTAACCACTGGGCTACCAGACCGCCCCTCATCAGTTCAGATGTACTGGACATCCTCCAAGTTTCAGGATTGTCTCTTCTCGCTGGTTTGGAGAAGCCATGCCAGTTGGACCTCTGGTGAAATATAAAGCTCGAGGAGAAGCAGATCCAAGGTTGTTTTTTTAAACTTATTGAAAAATGTTAAAAATCATGTTAGTTGAAATTAGAAGAATCAGATCTCGGTTGGCTGTATATACTTTATTATGCCTTTCTTTGTCCTAAAGTGACCATAAAACATATAAAACAAAAACAGTACAAGTAATTGGACCTTCACAGGATAAGTCCACATTCCAGATTACGGGATCACCTATGTTTCTAACTGCTGTTAGTCACATCACAGAACACTATCTGACTCCCAGTCATTACCCCAGCTGGTAATCTGAGGAGGAAGTCTTTGTATACATCAACATGTCAGATACATGGAACTGTGGGTAAATATGTGTAACGTGATCATTCAACTATTAATTTGATATAAGCCATTTTGTCCTTTTGTGTGTCCTTTGTCCCATGATCGCCGAGTGGAGTGGAAAATCCAGTACTGAAGGCCCAATATATTTTAATGGATTTACAACAGGAACCCTGTGGCCTTACTTTTATCATATGGTTGGATTATAATGACATCTAAAGCAGATATAGCGCTAGAAAGAGGTTGAATACAAATCATTTGATAAAGTCATTGATGAAATGAAAGAAATACTTTGGAACATTATTTGGTTCATCCACTATATCTCCAGGCCAGCCAGCATTTTGGACAACCTACACTAACACCAGGATCCATCCCCATGGTATTCGAACCCACACTCTCAGAGTGAGGCACCCACTTGATAGCACACAAAGTCAGCGATCTAACTCACTCAGCCACTGAGGCTCCCACAAAAATGAAAGTCCAACAACTGGTAGTTTGGATCACATACTTTGTTTACCCCACTGAGAAGTGTAAATTGGCACGGCTCCCATGGCCGAAAGCTATGAATACACAATGCTATTTGGAAAGTGATCCGATGTAACAAATGTTATTTTTGGGTTAACACAACTTTAAGGCTGGTTTATAACTCACATTCTGATTGGTCCGTTAGACCTAGTAGCGTAGCCAATCAAACTGGCAAATGGAATTCAAGGGCGGGTAATTTGGGATTGCGAGAACCCCGGGGATGGGTCCAGGGTTAGTGCAGGTTTACCAAACTGCGAGCCCTGGAGATGTAAAGGATGATGCTGGATAGACAGGACAGAACATAACACTCAGTTACTAAAATGTCAAAATGAAAGCTTAAGTTTCATAGTTTTCGGAACCTAAAATTGTGTGTAACTAATTCCAGAAGCCCCTTACTCAGAGAAATAACCTATAAGATATGAGGAAATATAGATCATCTGTCCACAGTGAATAATTAGGTTCTGAGCCTCGGTGAGTACCTCTTGATATTAATTCACGAAGGACATATAATCCATTATTCCTTGTAGCTCATGGGTTATTTTCTGTTTTCTCTATAGTCTTTTTTTGTGGATAAAATGTAGAAAAACATGGGTTTCCAGATCTCAAGTGGAGGCATCAGCTAAGCTCGTCTATTACACACGTACAAGACGTGTCAAAAAATTGTTTGCGATGTGATGAAATATGGATGATGTCATCTTCAGTTATCTGTGAGTATGGTTTTACACTGTTTAAGCATTATTCCTGCAACATCACAGCAGAAATGGGCTTCCAGGTTTAGAAACTAACAGTTTTTGTCCACTAGTCCTTATAATGATAACATATAGCAAAACCCTTAAAATGGGCCAATTCCTAATAGTCCTTAGGATACCTTTACAATTGGGCAGTGTGGTAAGGGCTACAGGACTAGTGCCAGTTTCTAACGCTGGCTTCACACATACTCATACCCACCACGGCTCTCAGTTATTTGTGACAATGCATTGAAATAACTTTATGTTGGTATGCATATGCCTCTTCACAAATATAAATGAAAACAATGATACAAATTGCTACAAACTAGCCAATCAGCTTGACGAGCGAACGCATTAACCACTAGACTGCCCCACTGCCCTACTACTGTTAGGAAATTACAAGCTGAAATTAAGACTAATAAGTTTATGCATCAGGTTTTATACCACGAGAAGGAGGGATGCATAAAACGAGGGATGCATAAAAACAGACAAACCTCAAGAGATACTGGTACATTGAATTTATCATGCTGACATATTTCAATCTGCCATTTTAAAAGAAATAAAACAAACCGAAAACTGATAGCAAACAGCTCTTTGGTTGAGGTGAGGTAAATTTGTGCCGTGTCATGTAACTTTTATTGAGTAACAACATGCAACTGTTTTTCCTTGTGGTGGGGTATAAGGGACTTATTCTGTCACTCAGAAATTTATTTCCCTCCCAGGCGGGATACAGAGTATTTTATCAAGATCACATGAACCAATCAGATCTCAGCATTCTGACATGGAGGTCAGATAATACCATTTTAGCAAGACGATCAATGACAAGGTATGATAAAGGGACCCTTTTGACCACTGTGATTTAGAAATTATTATGAATGTATGATTATATGTCCGTTGTGAAATGTTGAAAGTCTTCGTAACTCCGGTTGACTTTATTAGGAGATGTTGATAAAAGCAGTACAAACATGTGGTGAAAAATTCATTTTGAGTAACAGACTTACTCAAACATAGATTTTCTCATCCCTTTTCATTTTAACCATTCTTATGTATTTGATCATGTCACAGGTAGAAAACTTGCATATGTAAGAAAGAAAAAAGGATAGTTGTCCACCCTTGAAACATGTCACTGTCAGATAACTTTCATACCAATATTTCAAAATATTCTCCAACTTTAACAAAATTAACATTCCAGTGGGACAAAATGGGCCCATATCCTACCTCATCCGTTACACAATGCATTCTAGATGCAAGACTGGACATATATATAGATGGATTTCATAAGTGAAAATCTGCTGATGCTAATGCTTGCATAAAAGTTACCACTCTCTTTAAATCCTCATCTACGGAGGTAAGATGCAAGCATTGTTTCTTAACACATACATGCTATAAGAGTAGACTCCATGTATAAAACATATAATATACTACAGTACACTTTTCATTTTTGTTTTAAACACCAGTACATAAAACATACAACAGCTTCCCTCAAACTAAGTGTGGAGTGAAGCAGACAATGTGACCTTTTCAATACAATTGTAAAAAATATATATTAACACCTTCTGCATAAATACCAATCTTAAACAAAATATACATTTTGTGTAACACAGCAGTGCAGCATGTATAATTCTATTATTTACAGTCTTCGATAATCTGTTGTTGAAAAATTTAACAGCTATAAATGATATACTAAGAGCACTGGATAGGCTTCTGTGTTCAAATGCTGTTATTCATTTGATCGAGATTCCATCGTTTGAACAGAATTTTACTTCAGCATACCCCTTCAGTTAAGAACCCCTCCAGTTAACAACAACCTCAATAGTTAACAACCCCTTCAGTTACCGCCAACCCTTTCAGTTACCAGCAACCCCTTCAGTTACCAGGAGCCCCTCTAGTTAACAGCAGCCCCTTCAGTAAACAGCAACCCCTTCAGTTAACATCAATCCCTTCAGTTAACATCAATCCATTCTGTCAACAACACCTTTAGTTAACATCAACCCTTCAGTTAACATCAACCCCTTTAGTTAACAACAACTCCTTAAGTTAAAATCATTCCCTTCTGTCAACAACCCCTTCAGTTAAAATCATTCCCTTCTGTCAACAACCCCTTTAGTTAACATCAACCCATTAAGTTACCAGCAACCCCCTCAGTTAACATCAATCCCTTCAGTTAACAACCCCTTTAGTTAACAACAATCCCTTCAGGTAAAAACCATCCCCTCAGGTAACATCAACCCCCTCAGTAAACAACAACTCCTTCAGGTAAGAACAATGCCTTCAGTTAATATAAATCCTTTCAGTTAACAACAATCCCTTTAGGTAACAACCATCCCCTCGGGTAACAACTATCCCCTCAGTTAACAGCAATCCCTTCAGTTAACAACAACCCCTTCAGGTAAGAACAATCCCTTCAGTTAACATAAATCCTTTCAGTTAACAACAATCCCTTTAGGTAACAACCATCCCCCCAGGTAAAAACTATCCCCTCAGTTAACGACAATCCCTTCAGGTAACAACAACCCCTTCACTTGACATCAACCCCTTTAGTTAACAACCCCTTTAGTTAAAAACAGCCCCTTCAGTCCACCCCTTCAGTTGACAACAACCCCTCACATTACTTGTAGCCCTTATAGTTCATCATGTTGTGAGGGGACGTCTGTCTGCAGGAACTTGTATGTCTCCAGGGGATCACAATCCCAGTGTTTGTGAAACGACACATGAGTCCGATGCTTGACAAAGTCCTCACTGTAGTCCTCCTTACGAGCCTGCAGTGACAAAAGGGTACATGTATATACACTGCTGTTCCTCCAGTCAGCTGTACTAGGAAAGGAGTGAGTGCGTCTACAATGAAACCCTCTATCAAGGTCACAACTGTTTGTTTGTTTGTTGTTTAAAGCCGCACTCAGCAATATTTCAGCTATATGACAGCGGTCTTTAATTCATCAAGTCTGGACCCGACAATCCAGTGATTGACATCATGAGCATTGATCCACGCAATTGGGATATGATGACATGCATCAACCATGTCAGGGAGCCTGACCTTCCGACCCGTTAGTCGCCTCTTAAGGCAAGCATGTGTTGCTAGCCAAATTCTAACAAATGTTAAATGGGCAGATCACTGTTGAGTTCCCAGGCATTCGCCATCTAATCCAAATTATCATTTCTTGATTCAGCATGCAGTTACTACTTTCACTGCAGTAATATAAACGTCACGCTGGCATGCAAACAAAGTCTAGATAATTTGAAAAGTGATTGCCAGCATGCCCACCGATGCACACTACTAGGTGACGATGACATGAAATCAGTCAAGTCGCCACGCCCACCTGATCCACTGTAGTCAACTTTGACAACAAGTTGTAACCATTTCTACCCCGGAATCCCCACAAAGTTACCTCCAGGCAGAAACTATTTCCTGAGATCTATTCACTTTGTTCATAATCCAAGGTACCATTTCACAAAGCAGTTGTAAATTTGCACTCTGGTAGAGTTTATGCCACATTTGCACTATATTTATGCCTGTTCCACAAGGCTACTCTTAAGCTGGCATAAACTGTGGCCACCCCAAGACAACACGTACAATGTACACCAAATTTACACAAACGTAATATTACACTAGCTTTGTGAAATGCTCCTAGTTCAGTATTTCCAAATCACGCCAGTTTTACGAGCATGTAAGACTTACATCTGCTTTGTGAAACAGTACTTGGGTTTGGTTCTGAACATATGCTTACTGTAAATATAACATATGCACAAATACACACAATTTATGTACAACATATGTACAATGTATAGACAATGTGCACAATGTATGTACAACATATGCAAAGCCTTTACACTATTTATGCACAATGCATAAATATATATGAGTGAGATCTACACCTGGTGTACAAAGGGTTGAGTAAGATCTACACCTGGTGTATATAGGGTGAGTGAGATCTACACTTGGTGTATATAGGGTGAGTGAGATCTACACCTGGTGTATATAGGGTGAGTGGGATCTACACCTGGTGTATATAGGGTGAGTGAGATCTACACCTGGTGTATAAAGGTTTAGTGGGATCTACACCTGGTGTATATAGGGTGAGTGAGATCTACACCTGGTGTATATAGGGTGAGTGAGATCTACACCTGGTGTATATAGGGTGAGTGAGATCTACACCTGGTGTATATAGGGTGAGTGAGATCTACACCTGGTGTATATAGGGTGAGTGGGATCTTCACCTGGTGTATATAGGGTGAGTGAGATCTACACCTGGTGTACAAAGGGTTGAGTGAGATCTTCACCTGGTGTATATAGGGTGAGTGAGATCTACACCTGGTGTATATAGGGTGAGTGAGATCTACACCTGGTGTATATAGGGTGAGTGAGATCTACACCTGGTGTATATAGGGTGAGTGGGATCTACACCTGGTGTACAAAGGGTGAGTGAGATCAACACCTGGTGTATATAGGGTGAGTGAGATCTACACCTGGTGTATATAGGGTGAGTGAGATCTACACCTGGTGTATATAGGGTGAGTGGGATCTACACCTGGTGTATATAGGGTGAGTGAGATCAACACCTGGTGTATATAGGGTGAGTGAGATCTACACCTGGTGTATATAGGGTGAGTGAGATATACACCTGGTGTACAAAGGGTTGAGTGAGATTATCTGGTGTATATGTGGTGAGTGTGATCTACACCTGGTTTATATAGGGTGAGTGAGATCTACACCTGGTGTATATAGGGTGAGTGAGATCTACACCTGGTGTATATGGGGTGAGTGAGGTTACCTGGTGTATGTAGGGTGAGTGAGTTATTGTTACGTCTATCCTCTTGAGGCACATGCCAAGGATCATATCATCCGGAGCGTCATCAGATGGGCAGCTACACTCCTTAGCAAGCCGCTCCAACAATGGCCAGCTGAACAGCATCCTGAAGGGAGACAACTCATTACATGGATGACAGGTACAAAAAAAGAAAGAAGTTTTCATGTAAAAATTGTCTTTAATATTTAAGACAAAAAAATATTTCTTGTCAAAGGAAGACAATACATTCATTCTACCGACACTCCAACTGAAAGGACTTGTCAAAAGGAAAACACATGAAATTACATTTGTGATGTTCAAAATTAATTCCTAAAAAGAGATTCTAACTGCTTAAAAGATTCCTGAGCAAAGCACATGCAAGTGTAAATGTTTTTTTCATTTTCCATTACAGGGCTGGTGATGTCTGTATCGTATACGTCCGTGGCTGCTTGTACTATTCTGGACTAATGCTGATTTCATAGTGCTAACCCAGTGAGATGCAATGTTGCAGTTTAACATGAATACCCTACTCAGACACAGTATACTGACTAAAAGCCAACCACTCCTTGGTTTAGCTACATAATGCTGAGTGCCAGGCAGGGTAACAAGAAGTACCATCTTTCAACATCCTTTGGTATGATGTGGCTGGGGATCGAACCAACGATCTTCCGCTCTCCAGGCGGACGCTCTACCACTAGTCCACAGAGGCAGTATATTCCTATAGGAGACACATATTATGGATATTAAGCTGATAAGAACAGATACTATCAGTGAGTGCTTTGTCTGGCTTATCAGCTTCTTCGTTCTGCCCAATCTTACCCCCCTCCTCCTGTGATGTAGTCGTAGCCGTAACCTCTGGCCGACATGTAGCCGTACCGTTCCCCAAGAGCTATCTGTTCACTGGCATCATAGCAGGCCAACATCAGCCGCAGTCTATGCAAACTGAAAACAATCAAGTGTCACTTATGCCAAACTACTTTGCAGACCACAGCTAAATACTGCCCCTAGGAAAATGTAAATGAATCTGGAAAAAAATAAACTGAACTGAAATACAGATAGAAAACAACTCATCCATTAAATATTGGAAATCAAAATTTCAGAATCAGGATGGACAAGTAAAGAATAGCTGACATCTGATTGGGTTAAGAACCCACGTATCCCTCTTTAGACACGGTGGGTGAAATTCTTTCAGTGTTCACCTGACACAACCTTCTATCGAGGTGTTGTCAGATTTTCACGTAGAGTGGTATGACATCGGATAAACAGATTTTAATGAGGCTGTTCATGACGTAAGCTGACCTGATAATGGTGTCGTCATCTGCTATCAGCAGCCACTTCTTGCCAGCAAACTCCTTCCTCTCAGCAGCTCTCCTGATGATGGCCATGGTCTTCCCACAGTGGCCTGGAACAGAGACATGACAGAGTTGCATCCCTTAGTCACGCCAGGATCCTCTGATCATATATTGTGAACATGATACATTTACTTATATACAGGATGTTTAGGTGAGCACTTGCATGTATTTGGGACGCATGCATGAGTAGGGCAGGATATAGAAACTTTTGTACCACTATTTGATAGTGATTCAGGGTAACAACAAGTACCATCTTTTCACAATATGGTATGCAAGGGCATGGGATCGAAACACTAACCTCAGTTCTCTGTGCATATGCTGTATTCACTAGACCACGGAAGTACTATTTTAGCAAAGATTTCTTATGAAAATGGAAAGGGTTTTGACATTTTCATTGACACTGCTTTGAAGAGTATTTAATTTACATCACATGTCAGCTTAATGTAATAATTCTTATGGATCCTCTACCTCTATTACATCATTGCCCATATGTACCAGAGGGAAAGTTGGGCTCTGCCTCTAGTAAGCTCCAAGTATAGTTGACAGTAGTTTCCTAGATCTCTTGCGATTCCATCTATAGTGGATCTGTTTCCAAATCCTACTGACTACTGAATCACCTCAAGAGGACTACATGAAACATACAATTGTGTGGGACCGCCTCTGTGGTCTAGTGGTAGCGCGTCCGCCCGGAGAGCGGAAGGTCCGGGGTTCGATTTGTTGTTACCCTGTCTGGCGCTTGGCATTAAGGGGCTAAAACAAGGACTGATTGGCTCGGAGTCAGTATACTGTGTCTGAGTTGGGTATTCATGTTAAACTGTGGCATGGTATCTCAGTGGGCTAGCACTATAAATTGGCATCAGTCCGGACTAGTACAAGCAGCCACACACACATACACACACACACACACACATACACGTGCATGCATGTCGCTATATAAGTGCAATAACCTGACGCAACGTTAAACCCCATTTCACCATGGCATGATCTGAGACTGTTCCAGAATGTATCTGGGAAAGAAGCGGTTGTCTCTGTATCCATTATACATGGGAACATCCAGATTTGAGTAGACAGTATGTCTTCCTGCATACGGATGGTGGTATATAGTAGGTTGTGAATTAGTCTGACTTGATCCATTCTGATGGAAAATGGCTTGTCTCCAGTAGTTACCATGTAGGACTCTGGTTGTGTTAGAATGCCATGACAAATTCCGGCAACTAACCAGTTTATGTATGCTGTGATGTCCATACAGTGCTTGTTTGCTGTTGTTAAGTCCTTCAGTTCTGCAGAAGGTAATGTGATGCTGGTATTCGGTAATCCCCATCTGAATCCTGACACTCTGGGAGAGGGCATACGTGAGTCGGGTATAGTTTCCTCGTCAAAGACGGTAAAGGGAGACTATCATCAGTAGTTTCAGTAGATTTTTGGACACATGGATAATAACTTTATGTGTGTAACTTGGCCACAGAAGAGTATGAATCATGGGGAGTGGGATTCCGCGTATTCAGGTATCTGTTGTAATTCTGTTTCCTTTGTCATAGGTTGTATGACAGGCATTAGATGAATTGATCCAATAACTCCAGAAACGTGAGGCCAGGGTTTTAATCTTGCAGAGACAGAGAATAAACAGAGAATAAACAGATTCTGTACAATCCCCTTCCTCCAAGTCGGAATCTCAGAACCCCGGAATCTGTAGGGTCTTAGTTAATACCCGGGAGTGAAGTGGAATGATGTTTTGTACACGTAACCACTAGGGCTGCAATGAATACACTATGAGACGAATATGATTTGTATCATGAATATAGTGTAATGAATACGAATATTTATTCATAAATACAATAACAAGTCAGCAGTTGATGGATTACTTGTTCTATTCAATGAAACAAAAGCAACACAAATTATTTGACATGGTTTGTTAATTAATAACATCTTATGCATTTATATACTTCACTTATCCAGGTACTAGTATCTACTAAAATGCGACAATGACCAGTGACCACACCACTGTCAAATTAAATATTATGAGAGTGTTGTCTTTGAAGAAATCTATGCATATAATATGTTCTTATGGATATTTTCAGGTACAGGGTATTAAATGAACATGACTGCATATTCATAAAAATTTGATTCTATTGGTCACGAATAACGAATACAATTCATGAATGGATACAGTTCGATTCACCGAATACGCGAGTGAATTGTAACAGCCCTAGTAACCACCATGGAGTTCATGTGGACCCTGTGCATGTATTCATCTGACAGTGACCAGCATTTCAGAATAACAAAAGTCTGTGGAGTCTGTGATATCATGCTGTGGCTAACAAAGCCTGGTCGGTTAGCTTGGTTTTGATAGAACCTGCTAGGGTTTTCATCAATGATAACTGTATCCCATCTGGTGACCATAGCCAAAACAATGCATTTCTGAGGAGCCTGTGAATCTGTTGGTGGAACTCATAGAGCCAGTACGGGCCTTGGCAGTGACCGGGATGACTCTGCAATAGTTGTTGCCTTGTGGTTAGAAGACTGTCGGGTACTGTGCGTAAATGGAACAGCCCTTTAGAGGTAGATAGCTTGCTCCCCGTCTGGTCCATACGGGAACCATGCTGTGGTTGGCAGGATAGCTGTTTCTCTGTGTGACAGTCTTGACTACTGTGGGGAGACCGCCCGGGGGCCTGGTGGCTTCTGCCTAGACGGCTGGCTGGTGATGAATCGTGTGCTCCCTCAGATGGCCTTGGTGGTGGATGGGTCAGGTTTTCCTTGTGTCTGTCCACAACGGCAGAAAGAGATTTGATGACACTGACAGTCTACTTTGCCACTTCCTTCTTCTAGGCTTTTATAATGGATTCTGTCAATTTGTTGAAGGCCGACTTTGAGATGGAGGCGTACTGAGGCGCAAAAGACGTCACAACACATCCAGAAGGAAGGATGAGGGTTCCTGTGATCTTGAAATGACTACATGACTTGCAAGTTTAGGGAGAGGCTGAAGACTCCCAGATGGGCTCACACACACAAACACAAAGTCTATACTTACTTGTATACAACCAAAACAACCACTTAGTAGTTGAATTCCAGTGTAATAACAACTAATGAACTGAATATAGCTTGTCACAGTGTGACTACACAACCCAAATGCTAGCGATACGAGACTGTGGAAAGTTGATGTTTACATTAGCACACACAGGAAGATGTGAGGATTTCCCCTGCTTTGCACCTTGAAGAGCTGTAAGCTGATTGGTTCTACTGCGGTGACAACTATTCATGTACAGTTGACAGTGAAAAGGACTTCTGTTGAAAATCTGAAGATTTATTTATGGTGTGATTGCAACCAAAATACAGGAATTTGGTAATGACGCAAGAATAATAGGTTTCCTGTCATCTAAGGGACACAACTCTGCACGGCAAAACATGGCACCTTAGACAACTAGGCCACCCTTACCCCCAAGATGCTATGAATTTAGGCTGCCGTCTTATCCCTGGGTCTTACCTCTCTCAGTATTGGGGATGCCGAGGGTGATGGTAGGTATGCTGGGATCATCTACGTCACTGAAGTACTCGATGTTGCGGCTCTCCCGGTCCCATGTCTTCTTAACAACAGGAACTGGAATATAAAGCAAGGGTAAAGCATTTCTCCTGGTATGTCCACCGAGTTGTGTGAGGTCAGGAATCACAGACTGACAGTCAGGTTACTGTGTTACTAGGACTGCACGGTATTACCAGTGTACCAGTATCCTGCAATACGCTTTTCAAATTATACCTATAGCAACAATTTTGTCTGTGTTCTGGTATATTGGGTATAAAATATAGAACAAGTTTCTTTATTATTTGTATCATTTAACCTAAAATCTACACAGAAGTTCATTCACAAATGATGCTGAAATTGATTGAAAAAACGATGGAAATGTGGAAGGGATTTGTATCCTCACGTTGTTACCTCCCCTGTACCACAGCGTATATACGTCTTTGCCTGTACCCATGACTACCAAATGGCGGCAACTGACCATGCTGAATAATATTTTCTTTTGTATGTAGAAAATAGAATATGCATGTAAAATCAGTGCTAATGACTGTCAAACACTTTAGCTCCCAATATATGTCAACACATATCACAATAGACATACCTGCATTGCAATATATAATTAGGGTGAAGGGGTGCGCACTCCTCCCTTTTTAAGCATATTAATAATTTAAACCAGGGATTCATTTTGAATTCCAAACTAAGTAACAGCGATAGAAACAAACAGTTTTAGTCCACTAGTCCTTATAATGACAACATATAGCAAAACCCTTAAAAGGGGCAAATTGCTACTAGTCCTTATGATAGCTTAACTATTGGGCAGTTTGGCAAGGACTATGGGACTAGTGCTAATTTCTAACGCTGAGTAACCTTGTCAGACAAAATGGGATAAAGAGGGAATTTTCTTAAAAAGTCCTTTTCTTAAATTCTGGGTCACGTAAACATTTCATTCAAAGCAAAAATGTAAAACTAAACATTAAAGCCTCTTCTTGTTGATAAGTCCTGTTATCAGTGAGTAAGTGAGTGTGTGAGTATGGTTTTACACCACTCTTAGCAATATTCCACCAATATCAAGGCGGGGGACACCAGAAATGGGCTTCACACATTGTACCCATGTCGGGAATCGAACCCGGGTCTTCGGCGTGACGAGCGAACGCTTTAACCACAAGGCTACCCGACCGCCCCCTGTTATCAGTGAAATGCAAGTCACCCCGGGAAAGCAATAACATTAGTTTTTAAAAAAATAACATGAATTGGCAAACAATTTGTATAGACATTTGCTTCAGGTATGGGGCCTAATGTTAGCCTCTGAGCAGGCCTAGATAAATCACTGGCCAGGTGAGCTAAAAATAATTTCTTCCACCCGCCTCCCTTTTGAGAAAAATGTGCCAAGAAACATTTCTTTTTCTTTTTGTAGCCCTACTGTAAAGTAAATGTGAATTCCCCTGCATGTTCTTAAATAATGATATCACGGAACATTGGCTTACAACACTTCTTGTTGTTTGAGGAAATGTGAAAATGCAGTTTTTCTCAATTTGGTAAGGTATTGGCATACTGACCACAGAGCTCCAGATAACTTTTTGAGCAATTGAGTTTTTACTCGAAGGTCTCTATTGTAATTGGGTTATTACATTTTTCATTGGGTAACCAACATTTTGTCACTTATCTGTTCATCACTCTATTGGGTTTTTCCACAAAATGAGTAAGCATTTTGAGATTTAAAAAAGAAAAGAAATAATGTTGTAGATGTATATAATGGTTCCAAACATATGCTTGACTCGGAAAGTAAATTAGCTCGTAATTGTGTTTCGGAAATTAGCTCTTCTGTATGATTCATTGGGTATTTATGCGTGCTGTTTTCAAACAATTGAGTATTTTATTTAAAGCATGCATTTCTGTACGCAAGTTAATTGAAAGTAATTGGGTTTTGGATAGTTTTGGGGGGTATTTTACGCAAATACGCGGCTTATCTGAAGCTCTGTGACCATGCTCACATGGAACTTATGATGTTTTTCGTAAAGATGAATCGTTTATCCACATAGGGTCTTAAAGAAGTAATTTCCAGATCTGCCTGTATAGTAATTTGTGTGTTTGTATGGTTCATAAGTGTACCAAGAGCACGAGAACACACAATGACAAGACTTACAACTTGTTTCCGCCGAATGAGCAATTAGGATTGTAGAAATACCAAATTTGAGCTACAGATCATATGAAGGTTAAAGCACAAAACATAAACAAAGATTGCGACATACATTTTGAGCCCTGCAAATTTGTCAAGGTACTCGAGATTTGAATTGGTCCCTAGCAACCTATGCTGGTAGTAAAAGGTGGATTGGGTGGTGAGAATTGGTGACTTAGTTGATAGCATGTCATCATACCTCGACAAGGTGGACTGTTGCTCATTATATCAACCACTGGATTGTGTGGTCCAGACTTGGTTATTTACATATAGCTGGAATATTGCTGAATGGAGCTTTAACCAACAAATACACACAAAGTCATCTCCTACCTCTGTCTGCATGGAATTTGCCACAGGTTTTCACAGCAATACTGAGATCATCATCAGGAATAGCAGCACCCTGTGAGAATAGTAAGTCAAGATGAACACAGCTACAAACAATTGTTACATGTCAACCCAAATTAAAACGATAAGTTTACCCAGTAATCTGTACGTAAAAAAATGTAGTGTGAAACAACCAAACAACCAACAAATGTATCACAAAATTCACTGGGTTTACAAATCAATACAAATTGCTGCACAGCATTTACCAAGGCGGTACACAATAAAGAGGTAGTACAATATTCCATGGCAGTATATAGTATGATGACAGTGGTCAGTATCAAATACAAAAATACAGTGGTGATAGCAAAGTCAATGATAATAAGATCTTTCCATCAAGAATAGAGTTTAGATCATAACCTTTGGTGTAAAAATAAATGTTTCTTCTTATCCCACGATATGTGATTCAATATCTCAATCTCTACTACCACTAACTTGCATCTGCATTGAATCCCTCTCTAATTTCACTGGACAGCTACTTTTATCATTGTGTTACTCGAATCATACCTAAAAGAATTGTAGCTAATGGGTCCAGCAAATTTATCATTACAGAATGGAGATCTCATAAACAGGATGGACGTCACGTCAGCATCATGTTGCCAACTCATGCAGTACTCACACACTGAGGAAACCTCAAGTTGTCGTATGTTGCACAATCTTCTGAGTCAAGCACGCAGAATTCTGTCAGTTCTGTCAAGTTTGTAGCTAGTTTCTCTGACAAGTACCGAGCAAACTGAAACAGCAGGAACAAGGTTGTTTGATACATACACTGAACATGACATCACTACATTAAAATGTCCATCAGTCCTATGACCATCCCAGATTTGTGGAGTATAGTTCATTGAGAGGCAAGTGAGATATCATGTTTTGACACAAATACTTTTCTATCAATCTAAGACTAGTGGAACAGTGTACAGGCTGGCTTACATTTTCCATGGCTAACAGATTGATAAACATCAAAATGAAAATAAGAATTCCAAACTCCCAATGAACGCTCATAATTGTCGTTTAATTATTAACTTTTCGAAAGAAGGTCAGAAATACATTCTGAATTTGAACCCCAGGGCTTGTCAAAAGTTGTATTTGCTAGTATTGAATTAAAATGCATATGTGACCTTCTGCCATCTTCTCACCTCATGTTTTGGGTCAATGTTGAAGTCAACTGAATTCAAATCAGCTGCTGATAGATCTATCATCATTTCTGCTAACCTTTTTAAAAAGCAAATTAAAACTTTGATTATCAGTCATTTTAAAATGATGAAGCATGTGTGCTGCAATCTCCTGCAAATCTGAAAACTTCCAAAGTTTATCTCAAACATATTACAAAGCTAGCTGGGAGATCACTGACTTGAACTGCTGGTCAGTTTTATAAGTGTTAAATCATATTTCAATGCACTTGACACATGTTTGAAGGAAACATTTTTTGTCACAACAGTTCTTCTTCCACATATCTATGTTGACAAGTAGCGATCTGGATATTCAGTCAGATACAAGGAGACTCTGGTGTTGTTGGTTTGCATTTTATGTTGTAGAATCTCATTATATTTCCTGTTACACTGGGCCTTTGGAGCCAATGCTTAAATCACAAGGCCACCCTACCACCATTCAACTCATACAAAGCAAAATACTCTTCAGCAAGTGATCATTTAATATTTTTGGTGTGCAGCCCAGTTCTGTCATCCAAATCTGATGTTATATTTCGATATGATACCTCTCTCTGTGAAGAACTGAGGGGTGGGGTAGGGTAGGCAGTGTTCCCTGCTGGCTTTTGAAACTGCCAGTCCTGGTGGACTTGCAACACTAAAAATTACCAGTCCCCCCAACTTTCCACAAATAAATAAAAATATCAAAATTACCTGGCTTTAATTCTTTCGACATCTTGTTCGATTGCAAAGACGTCATCTCTGAAGTAACCTAGTTAGATCTACTTGTCATTCACACAAAGTTCAGACACAATTTACTCTTCTTCTTTTTTTTCATATTAATTTCTGGACGATGTCGCTTCAAATATATACTTAACCTCAAACCAAAGTGAAATGTTATTTCCTTGTAGTGTGTACTCAAAATGGACAACGGGAAACCCTGATGGTAACAGACAAGCTGACTTCGATAAAAAATACACATATTTGAATATCGCGGGTATTTTTTTCAACAACAAAAATTTATATGGTACTTTATTTGCCGGTCCACAGGGACTGGCAGTCACATGAATTACCAGTCAAAACCTAACTTTACCAGTAAAAAAACAGGTAAATACTGTTAAACGGGAACACCGGTAGGATAGAGTATGGTATGGTTAGGTTGAAATGAGGCTTAACGTTGCATTCAAGATTATTTCATGTACATGTGTGTGTATGCGTGCGTTGGTGTGACTGCTTGTACGAGTCCAGATTTATATTTACTATTTGCTTCTATGTAATCACAAAACATGTTCTACAAGTTCAACGAGTTACCCTTGGCTCGAAGTTCACTGCGACCTACCTGTTTACCAGTGGACGACTGATAAGAAAGCCAGCCCTTAAATCAGGGAATGCGAAGGCTTCTGGGTCCTCAAAGCCATAGAAGTGATGGATAATACTTATGTGTGAGTCATGTAACCCTCTCCCAAGGAATACATCCTGCAAAAAAACACATATTCACAGTAATAATAATAGTCCATTTGTATGGTGCTTTTTTCATGCTGAATATCATGCTCAAAGCATGTTAATTCCCTCAATGAATCAATGCACTCAAATTTCATTCTCAGGTTCCTGGGGAGTATATAACGCATACTGCCTTACAAGGCACGAGAAGGTTAACAAGCCACATTACAATCTCATCCTACCGGGTACCCATTCACTGTTTGGTAAACAGAGGCATATTTTGAACAAAGTCACTTGTACAGGTATAAGTTTGTTTGTAATTTGTTGTAAACACCAGAGTAATGTATTTTCCTGCTATATGGTTGAGATACCCTGTATTTTGCAAAAGTGAAATATATCCAATACTGTCTGAAATTGAAAAACATGCTGTTTCTTAAAATTAATTATATTATATTTTTGTGTTAATATTTCACAGTCAAGATATTTTGGGGGGAATTTACCCTTACCTCAACCCCAACAATGATTACTTTTTGTTATTCTGCCTCTTTGGTATATTGACCTAGAAAGTCTATAAAACAAGGAATTAAATCAGTTTGGTCCAAGAGGTTTCGGAGCAGTGATTGAAATAACTGAAAATACTTTTATATTTTAATACCCTGAAACCACTTGGCACCATCGCCATATTTTGGAAGTGATGTCACCAGTTCCATCTCTCTCAGCACTAACTTCACAAAGATATCTCTCGCTCATGAACCAAGAAATCCACAGCCAATTATGTCGGAATGAGATCTATATTCATACAAGCAAACCCTTGATATATTTAAACTAAATAAGTGAACTTTAGTAGGAAGACATGTTTTCCTGGCTTGTTTTTGACATGTACAGGTGATACAGTCATGAAAGGGAGTAAGTGAGTGAATTGGGTATAATCAGACCCAGATGAATTCTACTGTCAATTATAAAAATTCTGCAGTCAAATTACCAAAATTTGACATTTCAAAACATAAAATGATGCAAATACATATGTATAGCCTGATATGTATCAACAGTTAGATGGAAATGTGGTTTATGTAGTAGTAATACCACAAGATCTTTTAAAAGTGAGAAGGATATATTTCAAATTTTGTTTTATCGTTGAATTGTTGATTGATTTGTATATTTGGGTCGTATGTTAAATGTTTGGACATTATTCGAGTGAAAAATGAGATAGAATAGCTTTGAAAATACTGAAAATTGGTGTGTTCATTGAAAATAAAGGGTAAATTTTATGATTTTTCAACAATTCAGCGGTAAGTTACATTTTCTCACAAATCTCTTCTCTTTCTCTGCAAATCTCACATCACAGAATCTCAGAACTCATCTGGGATTGTTTAATGGCATTTTGAACAGTTTTCCAGTTATATCACGGCATGTCAGCTTGATGTGTGAAGAAAGCCTGAATTGATGCAGGTCTCAGATGTTTACCACTTTGATGAAATCCACAAGCATAGATATGGTGTTGACAAACCTAGAAACATAATAGGGGGATTTGAACCCATGATCATAAGTTTCAGGTGCCTTGGACGACTGGGCCCCCGATGCCCCCCATTTGAATCAGAGCCAAGCCGGAGTTATGGTGGATGAACAGATCCAGTCTGGTGATCATGAAAGAATGGAAGCACAAAACACTGGATAATTGGTGAAGGGACACCTGGAGCTTTACTCTGTATTAATTCCCTTTCAGAGCTTAAAAGATCACAAATACAGAATTTATCTATCTGTTTATCGTTTTAAAAGTGCATCCAGTTGTCACGTTTCTAAGCATGAGGCATTTATTATGGTGAATATGGTATATATAGTTCGATCACATTCAATGATGGTGACCAGACATCTTATTGAGCAATCATACTGATTACAATACCTTTGAGGAGTCGAAACTTTTCAAAACATTCAACAGTTTAGGTAGCTTTATCCTGGTTTCTTCCTCACAGAAAAACACCCATGGAGTACTTGGGAAAACATTTGAAAACCTGGAAAATAAACAGATATACTTGTTGTTGTTTGATGTTTAACGCTGCACTCAGCAATAGTCCAGCTTAATGACAGCAGTCTGTGAGCTTCAATCTACGCAACTGGGATAAGCTGACATGTATCAGACACGTCAGCGATCCTTACCCCCCGATCCTGTTAGTCACCTCTTATGACAAGCATAGTCGCCTTTTATGGCAAGCATGGGTTGTTGAAGACCTATTCTACCCCGGATAAAACAGATGTACATTTCCATCAACTTATATTATTTCCAATCTTTGTTGTCCCCTTCTGTGAGCCCTGGGACAGAACTAGTTCACAGTATTCCAATTAGGTTACGCTGCCCCTCTGGGAATTCTTGAACAGAACTAGTTCCCTGTTCCTTGGAGGCCATCTTGCCCTCTTGTGAACTCTGGGACAGAAGTAGTTCCCAGTACTCCAGTAAAGCCACATTGCTCCATAGGGAATTCTGAAGCAGTACTGGATCCAAGTATTCCATTAAGGCAACATGTCCCTCTTGGAATTCTGGGACAGAGCTAGTTCCCAGTATCCTATTTAGGACATCTTGCCCCTTTGTGAACAGGGACAGAAATAGTTCCCAGTACTCCAGTAAGGCCACATTGCTCCTCAGGGAATTCTGAGGCAGTATTGGTTCCAAGTATTCCATTATCCACATTTTTCTTTCCTTCGTTTACAGATATTTATGTAAAAAAATAACCTGAGTAGGAGAACAGATAAATAAATGAATAATAAACATGTTGAAATATTTCTCAGTCAATTCCTAAAGACTGATGGGAGAAAAATTAACATTTTTAGCTTGGCAACTTTTGAAATCGATGATTATGTTACCTTTGTACAAGAAATAAAAACACTTGGCAGTTTGTATCGTTGTGTCATCAGTAAAATACAACTTGCTTTGATAAGCCATCACATTACTTATAACAAACATTAACATGAATTAAAAAATTTCTAATTCCCATTTGGAATCTTTTACTAACATTTATTGACTGGGCAGATCTTGATAAATCCTTGATAACGTTCATCTATGAAGATACAGGGATACTTCTATGGTGGGGCCTTGAGCGTTTAGCCCCTAAATTTGAAAAAAAGTCCCACAGTTTCAAAGACAAATGGGCATTTTAGCATTGTGCTGTATGAGTAAGTGTGGGTGTACCTCTGCAGTATTTAATATTTTCAGATAAAGGGCCCATGTCAGAAAATTCCTGATGTGAACCCTGAAGATATTGACTGCCTGTCAGTGATGTGTACAATGTAACATATGTCATCATTCAATATGTAATCCCTAATGACAACAACCATGGTGATTAATCATGACATTAGGCATATAATGAACTAACTTACTCAGTCGCAGTTTTTGCAAACTGTGTCATTCAGTGATCAATACATACACAGTTAACTCAGACATATGAATATAAGCCCTTCTACTACCTTGTTGGGACCCGTGAAGATCCGGGGTAGAATAGGTCTTCAGCAACCCATGCTTGCCGTGAAAGGCAACTATGCTTGTCGTAAGAGGCGGAATGGCTGGCTGTTGTCACTGCCACACTACTGGGTTTAATGGCAGATAAACTCAAGGAGGCCAAGTCGGTGAGCTTCTTGTTAACCACATTGTTACAGTTATCTAGCTAGCTTCAAGCAAGTGCAGTCAATTTGTTGTCATACTTGTGTCCTTAATTAAGAACCCGGGTAATCTTGATTCTCAGGCACTGTATGTTTGGTTAGCCAGTGACTCATTGGGGAGGCAAAATTAGAATGCTCCCCAGCAGCCTATGTTGGTCGTTAGGTTTGACTTAATGGATCAGACTCGGTGACTTGGTTGATGCATGTCATCGACTCGATGATGTAGATTGTAGCTCACAATATCGATGACTGGTCGCTGTCATATCACTTGAATACTGCCCTGTGTGGCATTAAACAACAAACAACAGTATCCCGTGTATCATATGTCCATTCTGGCCTGTGAAGATCCGGGGTAGAATAGGTCTTCAGCAACCCATGCTTACCATAAAAGGCTTGTCGTAAGAGGTGACTAACAGGATCGGGTGGTCAGGCTTGCTGACTTGGTTGATGCATGTCATCGGTCCCAATTGCGTGGATCGATGCTCATGATGTCAATCACTGGTGTCTGGTCCAGACTCGATTATTTACTGACCGCCGTCATATAGCTGGAATATTGCTGAGTGCGGCGTTAAACAACAAAGCAAGAAAACATCTAGTCCCTCTGGAGTTTCACTAGTCTCAGACTAAAGGACTAGTGGTTATGTCTATCCTTGCTGGTAGTGATGAAAATGGAAAGAAAACATCATATGTTTTCAGGTTTTAGCCAAATATGATGACTAATAACACTGGTTTACTATTGTGTATTGAAAACATTGTGGAGTAACATATACTCTTATTCTCTGCAACATTTGGCATATGTTGTCCCACACAGTTAACATGACTGAAACTGAATATTTGTAAATCAATGTATAAAACAGGCCATGCATCGATGCAGTGGTTCTGAAACCATATTACTACAAAGTATCTGCAAAGTGTTTGAAATAAACAAATTGCCAGGCTGCCATCAAGACCCAGGGACTTCAGAAGCTGCATGCCCTGACAAAACTTTTTCAGGTTAGCATATTGTGCTAAATAAAAAGACACATAAATGTACTGCAGGCCATAAGGGCATATACAAATTTGAGTCTACGGGCCTGACATGAGATCCCCCTGCCACAGGCCTAAGGGAAGGCGCTTATTTCGAACACTGAATTGAGTATACCGGTAACATGTATCTGTTTGTCATTTGCATTAAATAAGTGAACTGTGAACTTCAAGGTGAAATAAAACCCATGATATATGCCAACAAGTCCCTAAATGATGTACCATCCGGGGCTAGTAAATTAAAGTTAATGGGTTTTTTACAAGCCCAAATATTTAGTTTGGTCCATAAATTTTATTACAGACTATATTCGTAAATTTTAAAAAAGAATAGAAATTAGCACCAGCCTGCTAGCATGTGTCAGTTTTGAATTTCAAAAATAATTTGGAGGGGAGTGGGATATTGCTACGTGTGATCACTGTTTGATCTAGGAGACTTCCTTCAATAATTTCTATCACTGAAAAGAGGTATTAAACAATCAGTGAGATGAAATACTAACACTGAAAATACAGGAAATAAGGTCCATGCTCCTAGTTCGGGCAGGCCCTCTGTCTCATGTAGAAGATACAATGCTGGACGATCATCCTGAAACAATGAATAATCACATCATACTTTACCATATTGTTCTGTAGATGTGCCCATGCTAATTTCTCAACAACAAAAAAAGACACAAACCAAACAAATTATTAAAAAGACGTGTTGAATTTATAACATTTTTGTTGTTGTATTACAGGTATTTGTTGGTTCTGTTTTATCTCAGTACCCACTGGTAGACAGGCAGGTCATAGTGGCCTTGTGAACAGGTAGGTCGCGGTGACCTTTTACACAGTTTCAGCCATATATTTATATTGATTTTGGTTCCTGTCAAATGGCAGATAAATATTAATCAACATAATCTGTAAAACTAGAAAATAAATTCACATGGCCTTAGAAATGTAATAGCCTTTCATGCCCACAAATGAAAAAGATGAAATTTGAAGTTGTCTGGTCTGATAACATTATTATTATCACAAGATGGGCAGGGTGGTTTAGGGTGAGGTTTTTATAGCAATGATGTTAATCAATACTATACAAAGTAGTCATTTTTCAAAACATCTATGAATAGTTTATATTCTTACCCCCTTTAAGTTTAATTGCTTGACTTGTTTTTCAAAGTCCTCCTTTAAGAGTTGCGCCCTGTTGGCATGGTATGTATTAGGCTGGGATATCACAATGAATGTAATATCCTTATACGTAACATCTGAAACAGAACAAGAAGATAAGAGTGAGTGAGTGAGTGACTTGGGTTAACGCCGCTTTGAACAGTATTCTAGTTATATCACAGCGGAAAATCTGAAGTGATGCAGGTCTTAGACATTTACCCCTTTGGTGAAACCAACGAGCATGGGTATGATGCTGACAAACCTGGAAACATGATTGAGGCGAACCAGGATTTGAACCATTGATCATATTTTTCTGGCGTGCCCAAAGGACGCAACTCTGCAAAGCAGGGCGCCTTAAACGCCTTAGACGACTGGGCCACCTGTGACCTCCCTGACAATAAGACAAGAATTACAAAATGTCAAAGAACATTTTGGAGAGGCATGTGCAAGGAAATATCTTAAAAACTAATAAATTAAATTGGTTTGATGCACAACCATACATACTGTTATGTTGTGTGAATCGACACTCATGAACACATCACATGTGACATCATAGATCCATGACTCGAGATGCACCATTTGTCTTGTGCAGGATAAGCATTTAAAGTTTGGAAATTACGTGCAGCATATCATGATAAGAATATAGACACTCTGTAGTAACACATGAGTGGTTGTTAGTTTTGTCATTCAGATACACATTAGAAATATTTCTTCTTTACGTACATACATCTCTATATGATTCTATGGTTCAGTTGATATCACATAACCTATTGCTGTCTCCAGCTTGTTAGAAAATTTGGAAGTTTTGAACTTTGATTATATCTCATTATTAAGAGAGTTAATCAAATTAGATCTCCTTTGTGCAGCATTAAACAACAAACAAACAAATAAACTAGTCTCAAGAAACAAAATCTCAGAACTCTGAATACTGTGGCATAATTTTACAAAAATAAATTATGTGTTGCTATAAAATGTAATAGGAACATGTGCACATAATTTTAAAGTACCCACAGTTTGATGACAGAAAGCATGACAAATTACACTTAACACATGGATTAGTGATATACTGTAAAACGTGAAATTAATGCGTCTCCAAAAGAATGCGACCGCTGGCCCCTAGCCAAAAATGCGACTCAATATGAATGCGACACCCCCTCCTCTCAAGCATCAGTGGATTTATATCTAAACAAAATGTCCTCTGTCAGGTTTACAGGAGAATCCTCACCTTAATCCAACCTTACATTAATTCAATCACACACCAAATAGCACCGCTTATTAGCGCTGAGTAGAGTACTTCAGCTAAAACAATGCGTGCGCGCTGGCTCGTGTCGGCCTTTGATGCAGTCGCAAAGAACAAAGACACCGTGTTGGGTGGCGTCTGTCTGGACTTGCAGGTGTGATCAGTGATGACATGAGTGAGTAGAACGCTTGTCTTGACCCCAGCAGTGACAATTCACAGGATGTAATTAGTGTTTGAATGACATTGTTTATATACTTGTTACAAGTGCTGCTCAATAAACATTGATGTGGAATACATAGTTGTTTGTTTTCAGCGTATGTCTAATTTGGTTTTTCTGCTATCCAAAATGTCTTATTTTTTGGTTGATATAAATGCGATGTTTAATAATGCGAGCAAAGACCACTCGCATTTTTCGCCTTTAATTCACGCTCGCGTTAATTTCACGTTTTACAGTAGGATGGTACATAAAGCCAAGGGGTATTGAGCTCAGAGATCGATGTTGCATGGAAAAGAAAGGGTTAATCAGACATAAATTGACATTTTATTTACCTGCACTTGTTGAATGTAGACATATATATTAGGTTGCACATTTCAATAACAAGATGCACTGGTGCTTGTCTTATAATAGCTGAATTAAACCATGATATTGAATCATGTATCACAAAAGTGTAAACCAAACAAAATCCTCAGAACTGTGGAAAATTCTCATCCCTCAATACACACGTAACACATGTAATAGTTCTTACAAACATCTTTACGCCAGATGACCTATGATGACTTATTACCATGTCTTGTTGGGGTAGTTGTCGGCATAGGTACAAGAATTAATGTACATCTACAAGTTATAATAATATATACCTCCAGAATTAACTCTTATTATGTCTCATGTTACCAGCCCTTTAGCATGTTTATGTCGCTTTGACTTAGTGGAGAGATAGGGTCTTAAGTCTTTTGGCAAATATTTCCTAAGGATAGCCAATATAATCTGAAATAAATACATATTTTGTTGAGTTGTGCCTCATATTTAGGATATGAGAGGAATCATGCTACCCAATGTACAAGACTGTGTGAGAGGTACATATTTGTACCTCAGGTACAGTTTTGTGGTCCGTGGTCTAGTGGTAGAGCGTCCACCCGGAGAGCGGGGATCCAGGGTTCGATCCCCGGTCGTGTCATACCAAAAGACGTTAAAAGATGGTACTTGTTGTTACCTTGTCTGGCGCTCGGCATTAAGGGGCTTAAAAAAAGGACTGGTCGGCTTTGAGTCAATATACTGTGTCTGAGTGGGGCATTCATGTTAAACTGCGGCATGGTATCTCAGTGGGCTAGCACTATAAATCGGCATCAGTCCTGTCTAATACAAGCCGCCACACACCCACACACCCACACACCCACACACACATGCATGCATGTCGCTAAATAAGTGCAATAATCTTGGATGCGACATTTAACCCCATTTCAACTCACCTCAGCTTAAGAGTGTAACATAATTATGATGGTAAATGAAATGAATACCTGTATGCTTTCCTGCTCCACTTGCAGACAAAACTGTTGTCAATGCTGTGAACAAAAAGACTTGAACAGATCACCACATATACTCAGATTCTCTATATTCATGGTATTCTATTTTCAAAATTTTCTGTGAATGACATTTCCAAAAAGTAAAAAAATCCAGCTGCAATACTTTCATGAAATTCATCTCCAAACTGGCATCATTATCGAGGTGGCCACTGCTGATAATTGAAAGGCACATAAGCAATTGTTATGCTATGTAATAAGTTGTTTTCTAGCATTTTCTGGTGTGTGCAAAACTACTTCACTTTGCGCACCTCTGTTGAGCGTAATCAAAACAGTTAATGAATAACCATTTCGACTTGGCAATAAATGTTGTGTCCATCCGTTTTGGGGTTATTGGAATCAGGTGTTGATCCTGCAAAGTGTATGCTGCAAATTCAGTGTACACTTAGGTGTTAGTGCATGTACATGTGAAGGTTAAAAAAAAGGATTCTTTTTTATCATTTTAATGGTGTGAATGTGCATAGTTTCACAAATTCAGAATACTGCAAAAATAACGTTGCCTTTTCTAATTTTACCAGACATGGTAGTCATGTTCATTGTGGGAACTGGACAATCCGAACCCCCAGAGATCCGTACCCAAACTTTTTGGGGCGGATTTCGTACCCAAATGTTAGAAAACCCATCCCCTCTCATAACATCACAATTTAAAGGGGCACTGATCTAAAGAAATTCCCCAGGACTGGTTGTTGCCTTTGTTTTTGTTTTTTCCCCATGAGTACCCTGATGATATGCAACGCAACTGAGCGTGACAAGAGACTGGGCTACCGTCTGCAAGGACAGCAAAATAAACTTTGGACAATATGTTTTACTCATTTTTGAACACTGATTGGTTAACCGTGATCTATTAAGTTTTCGACAAAGGGCCCATGTTAATTAATTTCTTCAGCCTAAAGAAACAGACAAAAAGAACGGCGGGGCTCATCGGTTGTCGTCATTTGGAAATACCCCTGATTGTTATAGTTTAAAAAAAAGTATCCATGCAGTGAAAGCATTTTCAGATTTCGGATTGCCTTGATAATACGATTACTACTCCCTTGTTGTCATCCATGTTTTCTGGTATAACCCTACACTTGTGTATTTGTCGTCATTCACTTGATGCTCAGTTAATGAATTTATTACTGGTATCATTAGTGGTAGCACCACTCCGAATACCTGAAGAAGGTTCCCATTTGGCATTTATTGTGTCTGGGGTTATTATTCAATCTAAATTCAGGTTTGAAGTGAGGTGAAATGTGTGTTATGTAATATGCATGTGGCAGCCCAGCAAGAGATGAATGATCAGTTGATTTACTTTTTTTGGTAAATCAGCGGATCGTTCGTATTCATCAAAGGATTAACAGAAAACACATTGATTGATTAATCACTGTTATCTTGCACGGTGGATATCTCAAAAGTGAGCGTTAACATGTCTAGGTTTACTAAAACAAAGGGTATACACTCATATCCTTGCGTGAAGTGCCGATGTAAAAACAACATACTTTGTTCAAAGGGTTAACTGATAATACGTTGATTAATTGCTCATTGTTATCTAACTCAATTGATTTTTTTAGGAACCGTGGACGTTATGAAAATAGTTGTCATGTGGGCTTTTTCAGCCAACGTTTGGGACTTGACAGCTATGTGAAACACCTGAAACAATCTAAGTGATCAGTTGGGAAACGAACATAATTTTCTGAAACGATTTATATTTTAAAATATTTGATTGTTACAGAGACACGTGACATCGAATACATTTCTTTGTAAAGCTGCAGACGTTTGGGATATTGTTCCTTTGTGTGGATATTCACGAATACATTCCTCGAACAAGGAAGCTGCCTAAAATTATACTCATAAATTTGGTAGGTTGTAATTATGATATTCGCATTTTCTTTTCCTTCATATGCAGTAGCATTGGACAGGTTCATTCTTGTTCCTCTACGTCTTGGTTGGGAAATTCTTCGATGCGCGATAGACGTTGTTTTCACAAGACTTTTCCTTTGTATATTACAGTCAATTTGTAAAATGTGATTCTCTCAGGCAATTTATAAAATGTGTAAATAAGTTGCTGATTTGCTAATCGAATATGCAGGGTTACTTCACAATATTTGGATGAAACGCACAAGTTTTATTTTTGTAGCGTATCTGTAATGTTCGTTGTGTATTTGATACGCTTGGATTCTATTTTACTGCGTATTTCTGCATTCTGATGCGTAATTTATAGATACACAGCTTATCTGGAGCTCTGACAGATGGACATATTATTCAGTCAATTTGTAATATAACTGAATATTCAGGCGTTTAATAAAGTGAAAATTTTGCACATTTTGACTGTAAAAATATAAACACGATAAAATAAGCAATGCTCAGGAGAAATATTTACTTTGTGTTGCAAGTCAAGATAGTGTAAACGAAAATGGCACAATTACCAAGCAAGTGACTTATCAAAACTTTGTCACCATTACCGATGCTACCCACAAATATACCTACATTTCCTTATTATTTCCAAAACTGTAATTCATTTTGTTGATCAATGTGACCATACGTCCCTATTCTATCAATAAAAGTGACAAATGCTCTTACGAATTGCGCAGCACAGGTTGCGAACTGTTTCTGCTATATCATCCGAGTACTCACGGGGAAAAACAATAACAAAGGCAACAACCAGTCCCAGGGAATTGCTCGAGATCAGTGCCCCTTAACATGAACATACTAATTAGAGACCTTATATATGATATATTAATGACATAGACAGGTGAGTTTGTTATTGGTCTCCAGATAGACTTCCACAAACAGAAAACCAGGAAATACAGTGTACCACGCTGCATTCAAGATGTATCATATTTATACAAAGTTAAAATACTAGACTAACATCTAGTCTCTGAAATGAACATATCGTACATAAAAAAAACAGTTGTTCAGTTATTTTAATAAAAATATAATAAAAAGGAGCCCAGTGACTCTCTTCATTTTCAGATACTGCAGTGATCTAGACTTGCCAAACATTATAGACTTGCATGGGCTGTATTTGATATATATTTGTATCAGGGTCTGTAAGACAGACTATTAAAACACGAACGAGTCCCGACTCAGTGGAGTTCGCTACCTGAAAGTTGTTACCAGCTGGTTACAATTAAATCTAACCTATTACTAACAACACACTTTATGCCTTAAAATATATAGGCTCTTAAACTCGTAGAGACAAGTTTGAACGTGTGTCAATTTCAAGAAGCTTCTATTTTCTAAAGAGCAGTCATTCATGAATGCGTGGAAAGTAGGTGAAAGGGCGTCAGCCATGACCGAAATATTTAGGCCCTATAGCAGACGAAACTTTCACCTTCTCGCACATCCTGCGATTAAATTGCTATCTATTGCATGGATGTGACAATTACTGTTTCATTCATGCGAGTATACCTTAGTTTATCCAAAGCTACGAAAACAAAACAAATAAATATTTTAGTTATTATTGAAACTAACCTGTCAAAGCGAGGAGACAAAACTTTGACACGTTTGAAAACGACGCCATTTCTGCAAGCCGGGAGTCGGACCGTCTATATTATATACACGATATCGTGCAAATAGTGGGCAAACTCCCTTCTCCGCCGTGAGACGCGAACGCTGATTGGTCTATTAATTTTCCTACACAATAAACCTGGTTCCCGGTCTCAGTTGCGCTACGCTACATTGTATATTGCTCCCCAAAATGTTAACTCTACACCGTAGTGCGGGTATCGTTTCTAAAAAGATATATCAAAGATAATAAAAAATTCTTTACTCGATGATAAAATTGTAATTTCTTCTCTAAACATCTGTGAAGATATAAAGGTTTGCTACGGTAGATAAACCAGGTATCACAGTTAGTTAAAAGTTTTGCAGACATGTTGGGAAAATGGAGATCATAAATATTTTGAGTAAACATACTTTACCTAATGAGATATTAGTTTTACGAACCAGAATATTTATAGTTTAGTTTTGTTGAACCAATTAAAATCAAAACATAATTCCCCTATTAAAATACTACAAACCTTCTGTTAAAACACAATTTACGAACTTTCTGTAAAAGAGCAAGCTATCTGAAGCAAGCATTTATTTTCCGCGTTTATATTGAAAAGATCAGGGAGTTAACTCCCTTGGAAAGTGTTTACGTGCGCTTCAGTCGTGTACCTGACTGATGCAATCGGGTTGTCAAAGCAAGCGGAAACATTTTGTATTGCATACTGTCTGTTTGAATGTATCATGTCAATTTGCTGCATGACTTGCCAATCCATTCAATAATTGGAATCCATTTTTAAAAATTAGTAATTTTCCAAACCCATCATGCACAAAGTTCAAACGCGTATACAGAGGATGTAATGAAATTCCCACAAGCGATATGATATGTATATATATGCTTCTGCTGTGTTCGTAATTTACAATGTATTGATAAATAATGAACGTATCGTAAGTGTTCTTTATGTTTTAAAGAAGTTTATGAATTAATTGTTTTCATATATATTAAAAATGTCGCACAAGCATTACTTAATTTGGAAGATAGAAGTTTCAATGTTAGAGTTCGTTTCATAATTGGCAGAAATTTCCGTTCTAAATTTGATAGTTGAACGCATATTCAGTTCGGTTGTTACGCAATGATCATTATGATGTGATCTTTGTATCATATGTTTACGATCGAAAGGTGCTGAAGATGACCGCAATTCTGTTGCGTAAAACCTTTTTTTGCGTTGACCCAAACGTCCAAAATCTCTTAGATTACATTTTGCTAATCTTGACAAGATATGATTTGTTGAAAACAGCGGGCACGTTTCAATGCATGTGCGTTACTTGATATTTTGCTCACGTATAAAGTCACTGCGAGTATATTACGCATAACTTCCTCAATTGTGTATATTGTTCACAATGAAGTACAAAGATGTAGATCATTATTGTTACAGGGCGGATCAAGATGGAGAAAGTCGACAAATACGTATTATGTGGTACCGAGTTGCATCATAATATAAACAGAGTATAAATTGATTCAAGCTAACTAATAAACTAAAATAAATACTTAACGTGTCATCGTACATTTAATATACGTAAATCTATTGCTCCGCTTAAACCCAGGAAACACTATAAAGTAACCTGTGAAAACGTAAAGTGTGTGACAAAAACATTTTTGAGTTTTGAAATCCACACAAATTCAGAGTTTTTGGATCAACAAGCCAAATTTTTGATAATTTTGATACGATAATGTAAATCAAGAACGTTTGGCATTTCAAAAGCAACATCAGCATGAATTCAAATGTTGATACTAAACACTTCAAACAATCAAACTAATGAAGGCGATTCTTGGATTTGATATACATGTATGTATCTACGTATGAAATATAACTATAAATGCATTGAATATGTGTGACTGTTTATCATAAGTCAAACTTGAAATCTAACTTAACCTAACATTTGGGAGGGAATCCTGCGTTTTCTCATATCGGTTGCAGGATTAACATCTTAAAATTAAAACCTTGTTCCAAAACTTATACTTTGACAGACAGTTAATACTTTGAATTGTTTTGATATTTTGCAAATAAATGTAATTGTTGGCATTTTCCTAGAATAAGGTTAATGAACTTATGCTGCTGGTTACATTTAATGAATTTGTCGTAATGAACAGACTTTGGCCCTGAAATCACATAAGAGACGAAAACTACAGATATACAAGTATTGGAATGCTTGGTTTGACCTTATGTCATCTGATAGGTTTGCATTTGAACAACCATGTATAACTTTAGTATGCATGGATGTTTTACGTCCAAATATTGTTGCATTCAAAGCAGAGATATATCTTGGATAATGTGTTATCACGATATCGTGCATATTGTGATAAATTGTCTGTTATACAGGTGTGCGTTCCTTCAGGTCTTATAGAAGGCATCAATTGATTGGACAGAAATTAGGCACTGGCCAATGATAACTAGCCTTACAAGTAGACCCTTGGTATCGAAGTTGTTTACAATATGGCGACCAAAGGCTACCCGAAGTGGTTGCTGGATTGTAAAGAAGACATAACAAAGTCAAAGGCAAGTCTCTTTTTTCTCAGACATGGTATTGGAAGAGAAATGAGATCCAGAAAAAAATACCTAAATCGCTAGATTACGATAATTAGTACCGGTTGGGATATTATTCATTTATAAATGTTTTGTGCCTTGAATTTCAATGGAATTTATATTTCTTGGAATGATTTTATGAATTATATATTAAATAGGGCTGAGGCGGGTAACTCGGTCGAGTGCGTACTGAGTAAGACCCGGGTACCCACAGGACTACCCAGACCCGTGGTTAGTCATGTGATATATTGTTTAATGACAAAAATTATCTGGAACTCTATAACTAAAAGGTTACACTACAAGTCACTAATGTTTGCATTTCTTTCTGACTATGCACCCATTCTTTCTGACTTTTCATATAGTTAAATAAAAGATATAAATTAAGTCAACTTCAGTGTATGCATGACCAGATTGTTTAATACATGTATCTAAATACATTTTGCCAGGGCTATGGTAAACAAAATTCCCAATTGGACATTTTGTACCTATCTCTTAGGACCTACAAGGGGTACACGGGTAGGGTCGTGTAATAGGGGGTTGGGTACCCGGGTAGGGTCGTGTAATAGGGGTGGGTAGGGTCGTGTAATAGGGGTGGGTGGGTGGATGGGTTGGGGGTTACTCGTCCCAGCCCTTATATTAAAACCATGGTTATTATAATATAAATTGGTAAAGACATCGCTTAAATTGTTGTTGGCGTTCGTGTTCATGGAATTATGAATGTGAACATCTCTTAATCCAGGAATGGAATGCATTTCTTCATGAACTCCATGATGCAATTCAGCAGCAGCTCACAGAAAGCCATGTTCAGTATTTTACTGACCTCTCTGAAGCGGAAAAGGAACTCTTTATGGAAAGGGCTACCAAGGCCATTGAAGGAGGTAGGAACAGCCTTATAAATTTGTTTTTGTAAGACAAGTACCAAGGACCAGTGGAAATTTTATTTCGCTAGTCCTCAGAGTTTGTATATAGTCCATGCTTGAACAAGACTTTGTTTACATTTTCTGTCAGTTTGATTCTGTTCCAATTTGTGGCAAAATCAAATCATTTAGAACTGATTGAGATGCTACTAAAATCAATGAGTTACACAATTGTAATTTTACTTGTTCTTAGTACAATTTAGTAGTCTCAGGCTAACATGGATTTCGAAGGCTTTATGAACAGATGTGAATAGAAAACATATCCATGCAGCTCTTTCACTCAGTGGCATCGGGTATTGGGTTTGTGGTAATTAATAAATTACTGCATGGAAGTTTTTCTATTTCGCCAACCCGTGTGAAATGTATGCAAGTCCAGGTCGTTAAAACAGGTCTAATCTGTAATTATGCATTAGTATGGATAAATTACTAAGGTAATATCACCAACAGATACTTCTACCCATCAAAAGCCTTTGATGACTGAATTATCTCATTCTCTTTGTTATGCGTGAAGATCTGGGTTAGAATAGGTCTTCAGCAACCAATGCTTGTCGTAGGAGGTGACTAACGGGATCGGGTGGTCAGGCTCGCTGACTAGGTTTATACATATCATCGTATCTCAATTGTGTGGATCGATGCTCATGATCCCAATCACTTGACTGTCTGGTCCAGACTCAATTATTTACAGACCACCATCATATAGCTGGAATATTGCTAAGTGCAGAGTTAAACAACGAATAAACAAACAAACAAAACAAGAATTCTCATTGTATAACGACTCTTAGGTCGAAGGCTGGACTTGGAAAGCACTTGGTACCCAGAATCAGATATCGGATGCAACCTTACTGCAACTGGGGTGACATACCGCCACCATGCCTGGATTGATGTTCACCTTATCAGTCTCTTCGTTTAACTCTTATGAAATCCGCAATTTAACTGTAATATTTGTCAACACTTTTTTCCCAAACTTCAGGATCAGTATTTGCTGCCCTATCCAGGAAGGTATCTTCCATGACAGATCAGCATCTAAATGAAGATGTCGCTAAACAGCTGATGGATGACTTCCCGCTCTCAACAAAGTCTGACCTTGTTATCGATTCTGCAGAGGAAGGTGCTCTCAGTCTATTGCGTCGCTGGCCGGAGATGAAGGCAAAGCTACATGTCTGTTTTAATCAACCTCTGCCGGAGGCAATTAGGCAGCTTGCTTGGAGACTGTACCTTAATAATCCTAAGTGTATGTATTTCATTGATAGATTTTTATCATCCAGTCGTAAGCTATTAAAGGGAGGTAAGTAGGATTCTCAAGAAAGAATCTGGGGAGGAGACTAAAAACATCACAGCCTTAGTATGTTTTTGGCGGATAATAAGACAAGGCAAACCTTTTGGGAGAATCTTTAAAATCTAAGCAGTGTTTTTTGTTGTTGTTAAAATAGTATTTAAACTTTTGTACATTTAATTACATACTCCATTGCTGTCACTGGATGGGGTATACATGAAATAAAGAAACCTTTGGGAGGGCCATTTTTCAGTATGTTCATCAGTGCATCCACCATATGTTAAATTAACAGTCCATTGCCATTTTTTATATTTTAATGTCAGAATTTCTAATTATATTTCCACATTAACTTCCAATAAG